CGGCCGAGCCGGGAAGGACCTAGTTAGATGGTGAAGCAGTGTGAGCTCCTTCAGTGGCTGTGAAGTGCGTTTCCTGTTACAGCAACCAGCAGATTGTGGCCCGTGTCGTGGCATATCAGGTTAGCCACCACCAGCATGCCATATGAGCACTGGTTTCAATCCAGTTCTCTGTTCATGTGTCTGGGAAAGCAGCGAAGAGGGCCAGCGTGCTAGAACTCTGCACCCACAGAGGGAACCTGGAATTCTGGGCTCCTGGCTTCAGTCTGACCCGGCCCCGCTCATTTTGGCCATTTTACGAGTGAGCCAGTGGATGGAAAACTTCTTTGCTCTCTTTCTCTCTCTCTCTCTCTCTGTTATTCTGCCTTTCCGATAAATCATTATTTTTGAAACACCAGCAATCATGATAGAGACCTAACTCTGTGTATATTAGCTTCAGATGCACCAATCAGCAGCCTTAAGCCCAACAGCCTCCAGCAGTCTGGTTTTGGAATCTGGCTGTGCTGGGTACCAGCTGGGTGATGCTGAGTGTGTGCTGCACTTCCTTGTGCCTCCATCTTCTTATCTGTGAAATGGAGAAATAATATGCAGCACACCTAACAACAGCAGTCCTGTGCGGAACCAGTGACTACAGCCCTGGGGCTGCCACTGTGGTGCACAAGCCCACCTTCCTTCTGATGCACCAGCAAACCATACAGGCCCCAGTCTGAGTGCTGGTTGCTCCACTGCTGATCCAGCTCCCTGGTAATGCACCTGGGAAGGCAGGGAGAGTGACCCAAGAGCTTGGACCCCAGTCCCCATACGGGAGACCCAGAGGAAACTCCTGGCTTCTGGCTTCAGACTGCGGCCCAGCTCTGGCTGTTGCAGCTCTTTGGAGAATGAACCAGTGGATGGAAGATCCCTCTTCTCTGTCTCTCATTCTCTCTCTGTAATTCTGCCTTTCCAAAAAAGAATAAATAAATGTTTTAAAAATGAGTATAGCCCTTCTAATATTACCTTTGCATAATATGATTATTGACCAGTGTCATGATTGGCGTCACGGTGAAGGAAGTAGAAGGGGGAACAAACTTTGGAGTCAGGATGCAGACTTGAGACCCAGTTCTCATGTCCCCCCGCCCCTCTTTTCTTTCTTTCCACATTTTTTCCTTTTTTTGTCTCTTATCTCCCTTCTTCCTTCCTTTTGGCAGAGGGGAATAGCTGGAGGAAAGTGAGAGACGAGAGCTTTCAGTGCCTTGGAACTTTATGTCTCACTTTGTCTCCCTATACAACAGGGATGTTTTTCAGGATCGTTGCACCAACATAACAAGTGGCTGGAAGTGGTTCGTCAGCTTCTGAGGGCCACCTTTGCCTTCTATTCTACATAAAGTGAGCCTTGCAGAGTTGTGGATCTGCTAGAAACAAACCAGCCTGAGGTGGTTTTTTTTGGTTGTTTTTTTAAAGAGTAATTTATTTTTATCAGAAAGGCAGATCAGCTTTACAGGGAGGAGAGACAGAGAGAAAGATCTTCCATCCATTGGTTCATTCCCCACATGGCCTCAATGGCTGAAGCTGAGCCTATCTAAAGCCAGGACTCCCATTCTTCCAGGTCTCCCATGCAGGTGCAGGGTCCTAAGGCTTTGGGCTGTTACCTCCTGCTTTCCCAAGCCACAAGGAAGGAGCTAAATGGGAAGTGGAGTAGCTGGGATATGAACCAGTGTCCATATGGGATCCTGGTGCTTGCAAGGTGCAGATTTACCACTAAGCCATTGCACCAGGCTCCCAGAGTCTTGCAAGTGGACTAACTGAGCCAGTGTCAAGTACCTCCGACTCCAGCATGTTGGGCCTGCGCTGTGAGTCTCGGTGCTGACCCCCTGCTTTAGGGCTCCTTCAGAACTTGGCTGAGGCTTTTCACTTGTGATGATTGAAATGCAGACAATTTAGTATAAAGGAGGTTGGGAGTTTCAAGTATCCCAAATGTCAGAAGAATAACCGGTGGCTTTTTCCATCTCTGAATGGGATTTTGTGGTTTCTTGTGTCTGACCTCAGCCAGTCTGTCCGGGCCAGGAGTCTCCCACAGGGTGGCTCCTTCCGAAAGGCTGTTGGTGCTTCTCCCCATCTGTGGCTTGAGAGTGGCTTTGGCTTCCCTGCAAGCTGACTGTGACCTTTACTGCTCCAGGGCCACCCAAGTCCCTTAGTCTTTGTCTTTAAAAAAAAAAAATCTGACTCTTACAATTTATTTTCATCTGCCTGAAAGAGTAGCTGGGGGTGGAGGACCAGGAGGAGAAATTTTCAACCTTCCAGTTAGCTAGCCCCAATGCATATGATGGTCAGGGCTGAATCGGCCAAGCCAGGAGTCAGGAACTCTAGCCAGGTCTTGTAGGAGGAGAGCAAGGGCCCAGACACTTGAGCCAGTTTCTGCTGCCTTCCAGGATGCATTATCAGGCAGCAGTGTAGGAAGCAGTATAGCCAGGGCTTGATGCCCGTACCTGGATATTACATGCAGGCATCAAGCAACGATCTAAACCACTATACTGCAACACCTACCCCACTGTTGTCTTTTAAGAAAAAGCACTGGATTCATCCAGCCACAGTTGGCAGCCACTTCAGGCTCCTCTGTAGTGATAGGGCTGGGGAAAGGGTCATTAGCACAAAAAGGCCCACTGGGCTTTGTGGGAAGGGAAGGAATCATGGCTTCCTGGCGTCTCGAGTGGACTTGGCAGTTGCAGATTTCCCTGTTTCAACATGAACCTTGAGTTTTTGGTGCTGCCCTGAGTCATTCCGAGCCAGCTTTAAACAAAGAGATGGTCAATCTGTGAAATGTCAGGTGTAGCGTGCTCACCTCCAGTGATGACGGCAGGAAGGAATGTGTAGGAATACTGCGTTTTTCTTAGCAGCAACACTGAAATAAGGTCACGGCTTCTTTTGGCAAGGGCTTTAAACGGGCATCCTCATTTGCATTCTTAAGTTCTGCTTTAGATTGTGGACTTTTGGGCTTAGCAAACACCCTGAGGCACCTGTGGGTTCAACCATCAGATCTTAAAGTTGAAGAAAACTTGGACTTGGGCCATGGGACATGGCTATACCACAGTGAAATTAGGATTTGGACCAGAGTCCCTTGGCTGTAATGACAGCTACATTCTTGAGCAGGACAATCATCCCAGCCCTGGGTTCCTTCTGTTCCTCCTACATGGCCTACTTTAAAAAGGGGAAGAATCTAGACTAAATAACAAGTGGTCTGAAAACCCATACTGCACACGCACAACTCCTCCACTGTGATAGGAGCCAGAAAGAGGTCGCCTTCGCAGGGAAGGCGGGGGTTGACCAGAAGGAAGTTTCCTAGGGTGATGGCAGTGTGCAGTGTCCTGCAGTGAGTACCAGTTACAAGGATGTGTGTATGTATTCATTTATATACATTTTAATATACATTGCACACTTAAACTCCAGACATTTTGTTACAAATAAATTGCATGGCAGTCTTTGAAAACACTCTCACCACTGTGCAGTCACACCTGCTAATGACAGCAGATTCACTGGTTGGGTGAGGATGGATGCCAGCTCTCAGCGTCCAATGGTGTGTTGTGCCAAGCCTGGGATGAGATCCCTTGCTTTGCTCTGTCACTGTGGAAGCAGAGCAAGTGATGGTGGGGGTGGGGGGCTTCTTTTCAGATCCAGCTGTACAAAAATCGCATGTAAAAAATTCTGCCTGCAGCTGTAGAAGTTGTACACACTTTAAAGGTGATTTAGTCTATCTCACTTCAGTTGCCTTAGGACTTACAGCAAAGATCCAGGCCTGGGCGCAGGCATTTAGCCTATGTTATCCCACATGGGAGCACCTGAATTTGGTTCCCCACTCTAGCTTCCTACCAGTTCAGTGCTTGGGAGGCGATAGTGATGGCTCAAGTAACTGGGTTTCTACCACCCCACGTGGGAGACCTGAATTCAGTTTCCATCACACAGTTGCAGCCCAGCCATTGAAGGCATTTGGGGGAATGCACCAGCAGCCAGGAGCTCACTTATGCTTTCTCTCAAAGTTTAATTATAATAATTAGGGCCTGGCACAATGGTTCAATTGGCCAATCTTGCCCCTACAAGCACCAGGATCCTATTTGGATGATGGTTGGTGTTCTGGCTGCTCCACTTCCTATCCAGCTCCCTGCTTGTGGCCCAGGAAAACAGAGGAGACTGGCCTAAAGCCTTGGGACCTTGCACCCACATGGAAGACCTAGAGGAAGCTCCTGGCTCTTGGCTTCAAATCAGCTCAACTCTAGCTGTTGCAGCCATTTGGAAAGTGAACTAGCAAATGGGAGATCTTTCTCTCCTCTCTATAGATCTTCCTTTCCAACAAAAATAAGTAAGTCTTTAATTAAATTCAGGCTAGCTCAGGGAAGGAAAGACAAGCTCTGTACAAAGTTGGCTCGAAGGCCTGTCCTGCTTGAGTGCATATAATCAAACTTGGAGTATTGCTATCTACATCAAAGTTGAGTATAGGCCCTGAAAAGCCCTTTCTTGTACAGTGGTGTCATGTGCCAGAAATGCTGCTTTTCCTTTTTTAAAGATTTTTATTCAATGAAAGAGTGACAAAGGGAGAAAGAGACAAAGGTTTTCCGTCTTCTGGTTCAGTCCCCAGTCCTCAACAGCCAGATGTGGGCCAGGCCAAAGTCAGGAAGGAACCTACAACTTCCTTTGGGTCCCCCACGTGGACACATGAGGTGCGATTGCAGGAAACGGTGTGGTGCAGAATGGCTGGGGCACAAACGGGCACTCTGATGGGGACATGGGCATTCCAAGTGCCCAAGCACCCACCTTGATTAGGAGGCGCTTGCGAATGCTTCCCTCTGCCCGAAGCCTGTGGGTTTGTGGGGGACTAACTTTTATCCCTTGTCACCAAAGAGGTTTGTATCTACTGGGCTGCGAGAGCTGTCATCTGCGCTTGGGTTGGAAAATTGATAGCATCCATGAATAACAGCTTAGCAAAAGCCATGCTGCGTGTGCCGGGAGAGGCGGGTGGTCCCTGTTGGCGAGTGTCGGTGAGGGGTTAAGCCTGGAAGATGCAGACAGGTGTTGTTCATCAAGATAGAGGTCTCTCCCGAACCTGAAGGCAAGGAGTGTGAACAGACACTGGAAGAATGCAGCGGTCAAGTGACTTCCTTTTGTCAGACCTTGGGAGAGAAGCTGCTTCAGCTACTGCTTGAATACCACTAAGCTATCAGAGTTGCCTAGGATACCGGTCACGTGGGCACATCTTCTGTACTTGCTCAAAATGATTTATTTTTCCTTTATTTTGGAGAAAAGTGGGGGGCGGGGCAGAGGGTCAGAGGTACTTTGAAGGCCTTGTTCTCCTAGAGAAGGGCCTTTGTGTGGGGATAGCCTTACCGCCCCTAGCAGCAGCCCTTGCTCTTGGCACTAGGGACTAAAATAGCATTTCCTGTCCCAGTTCTCTTCCCCGTTTTCTGAACTCTGCGTCATCCCACACAGAGAAGGCTCCGTGTTCTGTCCTTTGAGTGGGGAAGGAATGGCGGCAGTGAGAGGAGACGAGGGCCTTGCTGTGGGCCTTGCCGACCAGGAAGTCTCCAAGTTGGCTGCAGAAGCAGCCAGCAGCTGCCCCCACCCACCACTCACTCGAGGAAAGCCTGGGTCTGGCCAGCTCCATGTACCTGTTTGTCCCCTCTCCACCTCCCAAGGCAGGAATTGGCAGTGAACACACTAGTCCACCCAGTGTCCTCTAGACCCTGAAATAAAGCACTGCTCTAACAGGCCTTGTGGCCGGCTGGTTTGTGGATGACAGGCAGGTGTGTCACGGCTGTACTCGCTGATTTACTCTAGAGAGACAAAAGCACAGCAAGACATTGTGGTATGTTCTGGAAAAGTTCAACCCAAGGTGCTACATGTGTTAACTCTCACGTGATGTCTGTCTCTGACCCTAACACATATATAGCAAGAGTGAAAAGTGAACGTGTACTTGGTGACTTTGGCTTTCTCCCCAGGCAGCGGCATCTGTGTGTGTGTTGTGGAGCAGCAGGACCTCCTGGGAACAATGCCCCCGCCATCAGACATCGTCAAAGTGGCCATTGAGTGGCCAGGTGCTAATGCCCAGCTGCTGGAGATTGACCAGGTATGCTACTGAAAGGAGAAGCAGAGGGTGAGGAAAGGATACAAGACGTGTGGCAGAGGATGACCTCAGGGCCTAGGACAATTGGCATCAGGAGTGAGAACTTGCAACACAGAAGACCCAGCCCACCCTGGGCCAGCTTGGCCACCTGGCTTCAAAACAGGCTTCCCGAGAGGGTGGGCCTTCAGCATGGCCCTGTTGACATTACCTGGGCTGCCCACATCCACATCGGAGTGCCGAGGTCTGAGTCCCAGATGCAGTCCCGATTCCAGGCTCCCGCTAAGGCACAGTGTGGCAGCTGATGGGAGATGGCTCAAGTACGGTGGTTTCTGTGCCCCCCCCCCGCGCCCCCGCCGTGTGGAAGACCCTGACTGAGCTCTGGGCTCCTGGCTTTGGCCTGGCCTAGTCCTGGCTTTTGGGAGCATCTGGGGAGTGAACCAGTGGATGGGAGATCTCGTCTTTCAGATAATACTACTACTAACAATAATCATCTACCAGGAAGGAACTTGACTCTTACTCCCCAATTTCGTGTAGAACCTTGCTATGTGTGGGATGCAACTGCTGTTGGAGCATCTCTCGTTTCTCTCTTTCAGAAACGACCCCTGGCTTCCATCATCAAGGAGGTTTGCGATGGGTAGGTTGAACTTGACTTTGTTTTTGACATTGACAGCTAAGACTAAAGTTGTACAGGGAAGCCTGGAAGGGACTTCTGTGAGGAGCGTCTGGGAGGTCTCCAGGGTGTGGTTCTTGTGAGGGACACATGGGCTGGCGCACACATGTCCCTGCAGATCTTTGTTTTTCTTGAAGCCCAGGAATGGCCTGTGTGAAGGCCCATCAGACCTGAGAGCCACCCTCATGTTCAGGTGCCTGCTCCTTCTGGAAGGCTGAGGAGCCTCTGTTTTCAACAACTTAGCCTAAAGACTTGTCCCCTGCCACCACCACCCAGCTCACTTGCACACTGCACACAGGCCAGCCAGTCTCTTGAGCATCTCTCCTGGGAGTGATTGGTCTGCACAGGCTCAGAGGACTGGCCAAGTAGGATGTGATTTTTTTTTCTTACCCAGGTGGTCGTTGCCAAACCCAGAGTATTATACCCTCCGTTACGCAGACGGTCCCCAGCTCTACATCACCGAGCAGGTAAGTACTCGGGAGGCAGGGATGGTCAGAGCAGGATGGGGCAGTGACGAAATCAACACAGCTTTGGGGAGACGTGCTGATTGTCCTACCTAAGGAAGATATGGGGTCCAGGCGGCTTCTGTTTGCGAGGTCAGGAGCTGTAGCCTGGACAGATGGGAGAGCACCACTCCTTGTGTTCTTATGGAGGCTGGAATTGGCACCTGTTACATCCTGTGAGCCTGGGATGCTTGAGGCATCTTGAAAGCTCTTTGCCAAGGAGCGCCTGGGAGAAGAGGGCTCAGCTGAAGGGCCCTCATTACAGCTACAATTGTTCCTTGGTGTCTATGGGGGATTGCTTTTATAACCCTTAAAACCTGCTCATGATCAAGTCACTTTTATAAAATGGGAAGCATTTGCATATATGAACCAACAGAGCCCTGGTGTGATTGAAGTCATCTCTGGATTGCTTTAATCCCTGATGCAGTGTGAATGCCATGTAAGCAGTTGTTAATGTTTAGAGAATCAATGACAGGAAAAAAATAAAACAAAAAGCAACAACATGTTGAGGACAGACACAAGTTTGGTTTGGGGTGTTTTTGGTCTGTGGTTGGGTGGCCTAAGCCTGTGGAGCCTATGCAGTGGGAATGCCAACTGCACTTTCAAATGACAGAAAGTTCTTATTGCTTCAGCCTGCATGTGCCACTTGATGTTTGATCTTTGCTGGCTTTTGGTCTTTTTGTTTTGTTTTTCTCTTTCCAACGCAGACTCGCAATGACATTAAGAATGGGACCATCCTACAGCTGGCTATCTCCCCGGTAAGTACCTCAGCCTTAGCTCATTCCTTCACTCAGCAGACAAATGGGAGATGACCCGTGTCTCCTGCCCTACAGGTGATTGCAAAAGCAACCAAAAGGGTAGGAACACAACCAGGGGTGGGCACTGCCCATGGGGCTGGGGGCAGGGAGAGGGTCAGGATGGAGGCAGGGCTGAGCCACCTTCTTTAATGAGCGGAGAAAGCCAACAGATCAGAACAACTGCTGCTGGCCTGAGGGGTCAGGAGGGCACAGGTGGACTTCCTAGCAACAGCGTGGTGGGGTGGTTGGTTGGCCAGATGGCAATGGGTCGAGGAAAAGAAAGGTGAAAAGGTGAGGCACCTGAGTCTGCCACCCTGTGAAGAAGCTTGGTTTTCAGAGGAAGTCAACAGGAAAGGTAGAAACAGGGGTGAGCTGTGGAGTCTGAGAGATGGGCTTTATAAAAACAGATAAACATGAATGTGTTCCAAAAGCAGAAAGTTGGAGAGATCAGCAAGAGATCTTGCCAGACACTCTCCTGTTACCCACTGACTCGGTCACTGACAGGCAGGGACACAGTATTTTGTGTGTCCTTCAGACTAGATTGAGATGGAAGAGAGGAGGGTGGAAGGTGCCGGAAAGAAAGGATAATGAGCAGAATAGAACCCTGCTGGGAGAGGAAGGTGGAAGGTGCTGAAATTAATTAATTAGCGGAACAGAACCATCCTGGCTAAGGAGGGGAAGGCCGCAGTCTCCTAGCAGAGCCACCTTGGGTGCCAGGCTGCTGAGGAAGGCAGCAATGCAGATGCATCTTGGATTCCATTTGTGGGAGGACTTCTTGAAAATGATGGCCTGCTGGCACCTGCGTTCCTAGTGAGCGGCAGGCTGGTTCACCCCCGAGGAGGGGAGCCACGTGGGAATACCAGCTAACACTGAATGAAGGCCTGCGCCCGGCTGCGCTCGTTGTGGGCACGTATTTCTTCCAGTGAGACAGGGACTTGTGACGGCTCGACCAGAGAGGTTAAATCCCTTGTCTCTTGCGCTCAGCCGTCAGCAGCCGAGCTGGCGCCCAGACCCAGCCCTGTCTGACTGTAGGCCTGCCTCTGTCCTCACCATCATGTTTTGTCCCCGACTTTTCCCTGAACTCTCCTCGCCTTGAGGACTTCATCCCTCCCTGCCAAGCGCGGCTAATTTGACAGCCTGGAAGTGACTCACTTTAATGGAAGTGCCGAAGTATTTTACAGGCCTCCAGCCCGGCGTCATTGGCCTTCCCTGCAGCGCATTGGGAAGCAGGAGGCAGCCGCCGGAAAGCCTGTCCCAGGAGGAGAATTGACATTTGGGGTTGGAAGTTTCTAAGTGTGATGCAGACCAGTGCTCTTCAGATGGTTGTCTCCTGTGACCTTTTCTCGGGGCGCAGGCTTTGGAGGATTTCCTCTGACGCAGGCCGTCTTTTACACAAAGAGGAGCGGGGAAGGAGGGGCAGTGGGTCTGACTGCGTGGCCAGCAACAGGAATGGGCTCCAGTCACTGACTGAACACTGCAAGGAAAAAGACAAAGGCACCTATTTTGCCGTTCAGAATCTTAACTTCCCAGTGGAGAAAATTCAGTGAACGCTCCTAAAAAAGTAGAGAATGGAGGCCAGCACGGTGGTATAGTGGGTTAAACTGTCACCTACAGTGCTGGCATCCCATAGCGGTGCTGGTTCAAGGTCCAGCTGCTACCAGCTCCCTGCTAGCACACCTGGAAAAGCAGTGGAAGATGGCCCCTGCACACACATGGGAGACTCAGAGGAAGCTCTCTGCTCATGGCTTGGGCCTGTCACAGCCCTGGGTACTGGGAGTGAACCGTTGATGAGAGATCTCTTACCTCCTTCCCGCAACTGTTACTCTCTGTAACTGTGATTGTGTAATTGCCTTTAAACATTAAAAAGAGAGAGTCTAGCATGGTAGCCTAGCATCTAAAGTCCTCACCTTACACGCGCCAGGGTCCTATATGGGCGCCGGTTCTGGTCCCGGTGGCCCTGGTTCACTTCCCATCCAGTTTTCTGCTTGTGACCTGGGAATGCGGTAGGGGACAGCCCAAAGCCTTGGGATCCTGCACCCAAACGGGAAACCCAGAGGAGGCTCCTGACTCCTGGCTTCAGTTCAGCTCAGTTCTAGCCGTTGCAACTGCTTGGGGAGTGAATCACTGGATAGAAGATCTTCTTCTCTGTTTCCCCTTCTCTGTATATCTCACTTTCCAATAAAAATAAAGTAAATCTTAGAAAAAATAAAAACATTAAAAAGAGAGAGAATGAAGAAATGGTGAATTGTGAGGCTCTGGCTGTACAGTTAAATTGAGCAGGAGAGGTCAGTGACCTCAGGGAGGGCTGCTTGCCAGCTCCTGCCAGCCCCTGCCAGCCCCTGCCAACCCCTGCCAGGAGGCAAGCACCTGCTCAGACACATGCACGTGCCTGGAGGAAGTCTCACCTTCTCCAGCCATCATTTGCAGAAAGTCATCTTTGCAAATTAACTGCTCTTGCCACCCTCATACTCTTTTAAAAAATGCTTATTTATTTGAAAGGCTGAATACACAGAGAGAGGGAGGGGAGAAAAGAGAGAGATCTTCCATCCTTTGGTTCACTCTCCAGATAGCTAGAACAGCCGGAGCTGGGCTAGTCCAAAGCCAGGAACCAGAAGTTTCCTCCAGGTTTCCCATGTGTGTTCAGGGGCCCAAGCAGGTGGACCATCTTCTGCTTTCCCAGGCCATTAGCAGGAAGCTGGATCAGAAATGGAGCAGCTGGGACTTGAACCAGTGCCCATGTAGAATACCGTTTTACCACCTATGCCACAGCGCTGGCCCTCCCCGATACTCTAACCATCTGTGGGTACTGTTGCCTTGAGGGGGAAGGGTACTGACTTAGAAGAAACAGTAGAGTCAGACTTATCATATTGGAGAACTAAAAGGGACCGTAGAGTCATCAGATCAATTTCTGCACCCAATGTGAGAAACTCTTCTACAGCATCTTTGGCACTTTGTTGCCTAGACTCTTCTGGATTGCTTGCAGTGACGGGCAGCTCAGTATCTCAAGAGAAGCCTTTTCTATTGTCTGACAGCTATAATTAGTAGGAAGCTCTCCTTTGTTAAGCCAATATCTGTTTCCTTATGATGTGCCGTAGGCAGTGGTTCTCTCTTGTTTTTCCTCAGTAGGAATGCTTGTTAATCCATATGTCAAAGTGGGACAGAAAAGATACAGATTACTACAGATTGGCTGTTGCATACTGGTAATTCCATGATTAATCCAGTAAACATTATTTAGTAACTCATAAGCAGTACCAAAAGCCAGTTCTCCTCCTTGGGCCTGGTTGTCCCCAAGAAGGTCCCCACAAGCTGTCCGCAGAGTAGCAACCAGCTGCAAGGAGCAGATGGCACATGTGCTGTCCCTGCTCTCACAGTCCCGGGCCGCCCGCCAGCTGATGGAAAGGACCCAGTCATCCAACATGGAGACCCGGCTGGATGCCATGAAGGAGCTGGCCAAACTCTCCGCCGACGTGACTTTTGCCACTGAGTTCATCAACATGGATGGCATCGTTGTGCTGACAAGGCTCGTGGAAAGTGGAACCAAGCTCTTGTCCCAGTGAGTGGCACTGAGCCCTCGTTCCGAGGGTCCCCTAGATTTAGTATCCTCTCAGGGTCTCCTCATCTCCTTTGTGTCAGATAAGTTTTCTGAACACCTGGCCAGGCACCAGGGCTCACCCTGAGAGGTCTAACTTACTGTTGTGGACCAATGCCTTGTAGTCTGGTTGAGTTTCCGGCAAGTACCAACCCGGTGCTATGCCAAGTGTATCCAGAAGTGAGGCAGCAGCGTCAGTTCCTTGATGGCAAGTGCTGGGAGCCTCAGGAGGGTTGACTGTTCATTATCTCCCAGAACAGGTGTCTGCCTACTCCTAGCCATCACCTCCCACCCCACAGGCACCCACACACAGGCCTGCTTTTGGGTCTACCTATTTGCTGGATTCCCACCTTGTATTTGCAGGGGTATGGGAGTGGGGAGGAGATGAGCAGGTCTGTGATATTCCAGAGTGGAGGTGACTCTGTTGGGAAGCTGTGCCTGTGACAAGCAGTGAGCCAGTGGGCTTCCAGCAAAGCCTGTGGAAGCCACAGCTGACAGGCAGGGAGTGAGCTGGTGGATCAGCCATGGAAGTTTGCAGCCACAACCAGCCACTGATCACAGACATTTGTTTTCAGTCTTGGATCTTGCAGCCACACTAAACTTTTAAAGCCCTCATCTGTCGTGCATGCTGACGTGGGAACCCTGCAGTCTCCCAGGAGGGCAGGCTTGAGCTAGCCTCAGTTTCCCCATTTTTAAAATGGGGACAGTCCCCATCTCACTGTGGCTGTGAGCATGCTGTTAGTGGGAGTGTGTCTGAACCTGTTTTGTAGGTGGGAGGATGATTTGTTGATTATGGAGCACAGCCCAGATGTCTGAGGGATTAGGCATCCAAGGAGAAGAGATGGAGGGAGAAAGCACTTAATCCTCCTGCCGCACCAGCACCGCGTTAGGGCTTTGCTCATCCCATCAGCTCGCTCTCGCCACAGCCCCCCAGGCTACTGCCGCGTGGCTAACCCAACTCTGCAGAGGAAGGAATTGAAGTTGGAAAAGATTAAATGTGCACAGTTAGTACTTGAGTCAGGAATTGAGCCCACATCCACACTTTGTACTGTCTCCTCGGGCACTCCACTGTCTTGGCCAGCAGGTGAACGTGGGACATAAGCTCCTTAAGCTCCCCGACAGGTGTGGCAGATTGACAGGGGTCCACTGTCGTCCTGACCTCAGGAAATAGACGAGCAGTTCCACTTTCCTGAGGGGCAGCATCTGCAGAAGGCAAGGCTAAAGCAGGGCAGCCTGGGGTTTTGTTTCCTCATGGTGCAAATTTCTGGCAAGGAGCACACACAGACTCTTAGCATTGGGCTTACTGATTTCCCAAGGGGTGTTTACATGGAAATCCATCCCTTCTGTGGCTGCCTTACCCCCTGAGTTCTCTGGACTGAATCTTTGTTATCTGTGTGTGTGTGTGCGTGTGTGTGTGTGTGTGTGTGTATGCTGCCCATGTCTCAGCTACAGTGAGATGCTGGCATTCACCCTGACTGCCTTCTTAGAGCTCATGGACCATGGCATTGTCTCCTGGGACATGGTGTCCATCACCTTCATTAAGCAGGTGAGGCCTCTGACATTCTCTCTCCTTTCTCTCCCTTGCCAGATGTTCCACGGGCTGGTGGGGAGGAGATACTGGGTAATAGTACCACTCTGCTAAGGGTCAGCTTTCTGTGCTCTGGGGCCAGCTGTTTTCCTCCTCCAACACCGATCTTTCTATGGCTCCTGCAGGATGCATACTCGGTGTGCTGTCAGGGCTCCTCCTGGGAAGATAGCCCTGGGCTCTCACAGCAAAAATGAACTGTCAGTGAGATTTGGGATAAAACCAGCCTGTCCAGCACAGTCCCCAAGTACGGCCCCCTGAGCTCTTTCGTTGTCTCCCGATTAAAAAGAAGTCTCTCTCATTCTCTGATCTGCCCAGCAGACTGTCAGGGTCATCAGATTGAACTCAGCAGGCTGATGGGGTCCACTCTGTTTTACTCTTTCTTTTGGAAGGGGCAATGTCAAAGTAAACATGTGAACTAAGGCTAATGAATATTATATCCACTGACTTAGAATTTCACCTGTCCTTGGCTTGTGACATTGGCCAGCGTCCCCACACTGAAAATATTTGGACAGAAGTGAAATGGCCACGTGTGAAGGGTAGCATGGGACTAAGGAGGGAACAATCAGATGAAAAGACTTAAAGGCTGATTCGGCCTTTGAGCTTTCTCACACCCACACCCTTGCTTTGGAAAAAAAGATTAAAGTCTCAGATTTTGAGGAAGTAACCATTGTGTGGATGCTGGAATCCGAGACTGATTTATCCTTGGCCAGGGAATTTCTGGCCAATTGACCAGGGTAACCATGAGCCAGATAACCCTGGCCACGAGCATCATGCCTCGGGGGCAGAGAGCTGCAAGGGCTGACATCAGGTGCCAAGGCATGCAGCTCTGATCTGCCTCCTGCTCTGACTCCAGATTGCAGGGTACGTGAGCCAGCCCCTGGTGGACGTGTCCATTCTTCAGAGGTCCCTGGCCATCCTGGAGAGCATGGTCTTGAACAGCCAGAGTCTGTACCAGAAGATAGCAGAGGAGATTACCGTGGGACAGCTCATCTCTCACCTGCAGGTGTGAGTAGGAGACCCTCCCTGCCCTTCCCTTCCTGTTCTCTTACCTTGCTTGTGTCTTCCAGTCCTGCCTCTGCCCGGCTCCTAGTCCCAGCTGCAGCTACCGGTTCACTCACGCATCCGCCCCTTCTGCATTACTGCCCCTACACCGATGGTCTTTGATGTGTTCTCCTTTGAGGGCAAAGTCTCTGTTCCTGTGACGTCTGTATTTATATAAAATACTGTGTTGGTTTTTTGTTTTTGTTTTTTATTATCTGTTGCCCATTTTGAACACTCAGCTCCTGACTTTATGTAAAAACTTAATTAGTATATGTTGAATGAGTATTTACTGAGCTTGCCGTGAGCTGTGCTAAAATGCAAGAAGTGTCAAGGAAGGCAGGAGTTCAGGGTGCCAGTTCAGATCCAGGCTTTACTGCTTCATAGGGCTCAGCGGGACGCCTGGTCGCTTCTGACCCATTTCTCAACTCAAGACCCTAACTTTCATGGAGGAAGAGGACTGAAAAAAGATGAGTGGATGGAAGAGCTTAGCATGGTGGCAAGACAGGTTAGGTATTTCATAAATTGGGAGCTTTTAAACATTTAAATTTGTTTCCAATTTATCCAAAAAGCGGAGAAACAAAATAGCTGAAGGAGAGAGAAAGAGAGAGAGAGAGAGAGAGAGAGAGAGAATGAGTTCATATTCTCTGGTTCATCCCCCACAAAGTCCAGAACAGCTGGAGCTGGGCTGGGCTGAAGCCTGGAGCCAGTAACTCAAGTCTCCCACATGGGTAGCAGGAACCCAGTTCCTTGAGCCATCACTGCTGTCTCCCAGGGTCTGCGTAACAGGAAGCTGATGTCAGGAGTGAAGCCAGGGGTCAAACTTAGATGTATGTACTTAGATGTATGGAGTGGATGTCCTAACCACCAGGCTGAAGACCCACCTCCTTTGGTTTTTCTTTTGTTTTGTTTTAAGAAGCACATCATAGATTATTTTACCGGACAATAGAAGTTGGTGCCAGGTGAATCCTTTGAAGTTCTGTTCACTTCACTTTTTAGTCAGTCTACACAGTGTAAGGCTGCTGGACTTCTCCCAGACAAGGGCTGTGATCCTGCTGATTCCTTCTTGATTGTTGTTCACGTCAAGCCTAGTGGATGTTGCCAGAATGCGGCCAGATTCCACTGCCAGTCCAGAGGAAGTGCTGGCTCCCAGGCTTGGGAGTGTCTAGCAGTCAGCCCTGTCTTGAGTTACACTAATCCAAGTAAAAAGAAAGCCCCATGGTTTGTTTACAGCTCTGATTTCCACTGATCCCTTTAAAAAATTTCTTAGCCTCAGCTTTTAAAACAAAAGGCCGATGAGACTGGGGACATGGAGACACTGGCCAGTGCAAGAACATTAGAAACTCTGGGTAGACAATCCCGGTCTTCCTGTGACCTCACACCTACCCCTGGTTCTTCCCTCTGTAGGGAATGACTCCCAACTGCCTCCCTCAGGACACTAGACACATGCACTCCTCAGGACTTGGTTGTACACGCTTTGAGCCCAGTGCTGTCGTCAGCCCTTGCATGCTATGCCAAGGGACATTGGTTCCCTTCGTTAGATGCCTAGGTGTCCCTGCCTGACCAGGGAGCCCATCACCCACCATGGAGACAGAACCACAGAACCTATCCAAGATACAGCAAGTGGCCGTGCCATAGCAAATGACAGGATTGCAAGATTCCAGAGGATGATTGTAGTTGTTGGGTATGTCTAAAATAATGTAAGTTTGTAGTCAAAAGAGTTTGAAAATACAGAAAAGTACTAAATTATTTGCCTGCTGCCTCACCTCCAAACATAAGTACTGTCAAACCTTAACTTGAATGTCCCTTCAGTCTTTGTGCATATTTTTGTCACCGGATCTCATTATACATAATACGTGTACATTGATTATTATTATCATTTTATGGAATAATTGATCTTAAGCATTTCCCCATTCTAAGATTGCTCCAGAAAAGGAGCTCTAAATCTGGCTTGCATCTCAGACACCATTTCAAAATCCAGTAATTACTACAAACTCTCACCTGTTTTGCATAGTAATCCACAGTGGACTGACAAGAGTACTTCCATACTGTGTCTGGGGCTCACAGACACGCTGAGCCCATCGCTGAGCACAGGTGAAGAAGCTTTACCCTAAAACACGATCTGATCATTACCTGGGATTCCCGGGTATACGCTGAGTTGCTGGCGGAGGCACTGGGTTACTGTTTAAGAATACTTTAGTGCAATGCCTTGTCAATACATCACGCACGAGTCTCTGATTACTGTGTTAGGATGAAGTCCTTCCTGTTAGCAGAATTACTGGGATAAGAGCATGCCCACTTTGAATGTGTCTGTGTGAGACTTAGCCCCAGATCAGCACCCGATTACAGCCTGAGGGTGATTGTTTCAAGTCGTGGCCATCCTACTCAACCTCCTGAGCTGCCTATGCTTTCTCCCCCGTCAACACAGTTCCAACCAGGAGATCCAGACCTACGCCATCGCCCTGATCAATGCGCTCTTTCTGAAGGCTCCTGAGGACAAGCGGCAGGTCTGTGGCTGCCTTTGCAAACTTCCCACCTGGGCCTCGCTACGGCAAGTCTCACCCCACACACTACCATGCAGGGGGTGGAAATCCACTCTCCCCAGAGTCCTGCCTCTCAGCCACCATGGTCAGAGGGCAGCAGGGCAGCGGCCTTGCCAAGGAAGGCCTGGGGAAGAACTGTGAGGATGAGGAGTTGGACCGTTTCTCTACAAAACCAGAGGGAAAAGATTTCCCCGCTTCACCAGCCCGACCATCTGTCTGGCCATGGCTCCACCTTACCATTGTAGCCCAAGCAGCTTGAGACAATAGGTGAATGAATGGGGCACAGCTGTCTTTCTGGAAAACCTTCTTTACCCAAGCCCCGTGTGGCTATAGTTTGTAACCTCTCCCCACTCACCTGGGGCAGAGGATCAAGAGAGAGGAAGGGGAGGCCCCCTGGGCATCCTTATTGAAGCCAGCAGGCCCAAGACCGATGAAAGTCGCTGTGTGATGTGAAACAGATTCTACTTTGCTGAAGCTTGCTTCCCTCACCTGTGATACGGCATGGAGAACTGGGGTGGCGGAAAGGTGGGGGTGAGAAGGGGGGATGAACACCTGCCAAGGGCCCTGGATTGACTGAGCATTTTTCCTACCTCTACCTGGGCAAGGGCCTTACCCAGGCTGGGTCTCAGCTGCGCCTCGTTGAAGAGACTGGCCCTTTCCAACCCTGGCACTCTAGGTGACTGTGATGGAAGTCCAAAGTGGTGCCCCAAAGTAACACTTCTTACCCTGTCAATATTCTGGGCTTAGTAAGGTGGAATGCAGGTGGGGGTCGTGCACCTGCCTCTGCCTGCTTTCCCAGGGGAGGACCGCGACATCCATGGTTCTGTCTGTCCTTGTCTCTTTTGGATGGCTTGGCTCTGTTAACCCCTTCCCTCCCAGTCCTCGTTTGAATGTAAGCCGAAAGCTCATCCCGTCTGCTTCTCTCTGTGCCTTTTGCTTCCTGCCGGCAGGACAAGCCTCTTAATCCTCTAGACCTGCCTGTCACTGTAAGTAGCCCCGCTGTGTGGCAAGGGCCCCGGCTCTTTTAGGTGGGGAGGTCAGAAGCAGCTGGGGCAGGAGTCTCATGTTCCCATCTCTGCGTGTGGGATGCGCTGACACCCAGGGACAGTGGTGTGCCGCAGGCCCCCATTTGTCAGACACCTAGACAAAGCGACAAAGTCAAGTCACCAAGAGGGTTAAGAGGACACCTGCACCAGGAAGGTGGCCTGGTCTTCCCCTTGTCCCTTGCCGTTGTGTGGGTATCTGGCTACAAATCGCCCATAACTTCCACTTAGACGACACTATGGAAGTGTTGCCTTCCAGCTTGGGCTGATGAAAGTCAAGCCTGTTGCCTCTTTAGACTCCAGGAGGACAGTGGGAATGTGAAAAGCCTTAGCGGACAGAAAGGAGCTGAGATGCTCGTTTGGAGGTTAGGAAGCTTTAGAGAGGTTGGCTGTGCGTGACTGTGGATGAGAGAGCATGCTGTCCAGCACCTGAGGGGCTCCACTCTAATGTCTTCCCATTCAGCTCCAGATCCCTGTCAGTTACCTGCCTCCTTAGTTGTCTACAGCAAGATTCATCTCAACTGTGACCCCCTGTGGTCACCAGAGAAGCTTCTAGGCTTCCTTCCTCCCTTGCCAGCCTGTGTGCATGCAGGAGATGCAAAGGAAAACCCAAGGTGCCTGGCAGCATCAGCCATGCGAAATGGGTGTGGGAACCCGAAGGGAGGGAGGCCCCTGAGCTCTCAGGAAAGATGATGGACAGGGCCGTGCAGGAGGGGCGAGGCGGCCCCCTCAGGCCTCCTGGGTCAGAGTTATCTCTGCAAAGAGACGAAGGCCACGGCGTACTGCGTGAACTCCTACTGATTAACATTAGGGAGAAGTGATGGCCGACACTGGAAGGAAAAGGCAGAAGAATTACGAAAAGCTGTCAGAAAAATTAAAAGCATTGTAATCTAGGGCCATTTTGTTTAGGGGAAAATAGCTTCACATTTCCACAGCTCCTTAGGGTATTCCAGTGTCACAACACAGAATAATAACCGATGTTCTTTCTGATGAAGCCAAGTCCTCGGTGGTGATTAAATTATAATCACTGTAGACTCTTTGGAAATAAATCTATAGCATGTATTTTTTTAGAGATTTGCATAAGAATGGTCAAAATAATGGTTCTGAGAGAACCCTTAAAGCTCTGCTCCCCAGGAAGATTGATTTATGTGGGGTACTTTATTTCCTGGGTATGCTAAATAAATAAAGCATAGCTGTCAAAATCCGAGCCAAGCATAATAAAAAAAGATCATCTTTTATGAAAATGTACCCGAAAGTACCCAACACATTGCTCTCCAAACCAGTCAGCATCCCAGGTTTGTTTACTGCTGTTGGAGCATCTGTGTGCAGCCTTTGCAGCTTGGGGCTGGAGAGGCTGCTGGGCCAAAGCAGCACTTGGATCCATTGCTTTGGGAGAGTCCCTTCCACCCTTGGGGCAGGCTGGGGGTGGTCTGCCTGGATCTCTGCATGTGGCTTGGAAACCATCACGCTGCTCTGTGCCCCACACACGTGTGCAGTGTCCATGCCTGGCATCTCTGTCACACGGCGTCTTGGTATCTTTGTCACACAGTGTCTGGTCCTTCCTCACACAGTCCATGTCCTTCTCTAAAGATGAGGCAGCCTCGTGTGCCACTGGGAAGGGGGCCCCCACTCAAGCAAATGTATACTTGATGGAGGGTACAAGGGTCAAATGTGTTTGATTGTGGCTGTTCTTCAAGTTGCTCACTTTTTCCAAGTAAGGGAAAAGTTGGGGGGTAAGAGGAAAGGCCCCAGAACTGCGGCGGCCACCTCTTTGTAGAGATCCTAGATTGTGTCTGCCACTTTGCCTTACATTTGCTTCCTCTTCTTCCTAGGATATGGCCAATGCATTTGCACAGAAACACCTTCGGTCCATAATCCTAAACGTAAGTTCCTGGAACACGGTGCATTTTGTTAAAGCTGTTGATATTCAGAATAATTAGTAAGTTATTGAGGTTACAGCTGAGTCAGGGAGGGTGTGCAAGAGGGAACTTAGCATAGGCACCAAGCCCCTCTTAAGCTGGAAGACTTTTCCTTGTACTCCACCACCAGCACCATCCTGCCAGGGGTTTGCAAAACTTCTGGGAGAGGCAGAGGCCAGCCGTACTGCTTATTAACCTGCAACTCCAACGTGTTTATCCAAAGAGACTGTGTGAAAGTGGATACCAAAAAAGGATAGGAAGTCATCTAACCAACCCCAGTCAGAGACAAAAAAAAAAAAAAAGGAAGAAAAGAAAGTAGATTTTTGCTCCCAACCTGGTCCAGAAAGAAAAACCCAGCATGGAAGGTCAAGGTTTCATGGAGATGTGTGGTTGAGGAAGGGCCCTGATGGAAGCCTTCAGAGGACCATCCACAGCTGAGCCGCAGCCGACCAGGTGGGACAAGAATTCCAGGTGAGGGTACTGGAGCATAGGAATGTGTGGAATTGCAAAAGCCATGAGGCAAGGAGCGGGTCAAATAAGTCTGTTTTCTTCCAAGGCCTGCAGAGGGGCTGTGATGAGAAGAGCTTAGGAAGAACAGCAGAAGGACTTGCTAGTGTCTGACGAAGGCAAACAGGATAGGAAGTGGGAACCAGGGCCTGGGAAGAGGTCTGATGCCTGTCACCCAGTGCTGATAGGCAGGCCAGGAGGGCTGAGATGGGAAGTGCTGGCAGTTTGGTAGCTGGAGAGGAGGGCCAGGGATCTGGATACAGAGGAGACCATTAATTAAATCAGTTGTAAAAAAAAAAAGGGGGGGGGGATAGGAGACTACAGTGAGGAGGATGAAATGAAAACTCAGGAGTCAGTGAAAAAGACTCAGCAGTGCTGGACTTGAACCTTGGATCTACCAGCACCTGCTTTGCCATCACCTCGCCTTTGATCTTGAGCAATCCAGGCCCCAGGCTTCCATTTGCTTATCTGAATGTGAGGACTAGAGAATCTGATACCTTCCCAGCAGGTGCCTGGCACTTGGCAAACACTGCCTCCTCCCAGCTGAACAGAAAGCAAAGGCAGCAGAATTCCACAAGTAAGCTCGGCAGGTCTGCCAGGCTTCACCTTGAAGAGCTGGCACCTGCCTGCCGCCTGCTGCCCTCGTCACAGCCCAGCAGGAGTTCCCCACCCTGACAGGTGCAGGGCACCTGTCTGCATGGGGAAGGAAGGTGATCTGGAGGAACCACAACCTGCTTGGTCCTTCATGAGGTTAGATATTCAGCTCACTTCTGGACACCTCATGATCCGGCCAAGATCTCACTAGAGGTGAGGGTTCCTCGTCAGGACTCAGGACTTACCTGTTCTGTCAGGAAATAGTTAATGCCTGCCCAGTGAAGTGCAGGGATTTGACAGTCTAACCAGAGAGCGTCAGCTGGCTGGGAGGTATTTGACAGTGAAGTGAGACTTCAGATGAAACTTCTGAAAGTGCCCCTCGGAATGGGGCTGCGTAGCTGCCCAGGGCAATTAACTTCCTCCGCACCATGGTGCCTGGCAAGTTCAGAAAAGGGATGAAAGTGAATGCAAACCAAGAGCACGTTAACCTTCCCTTCACTTCACAGTGGCTGATACATTATGGAGGGAAGTGAGGAGGCAGGAAGAAGGGTAGGCGGAGAGGAAGGAATCAGGGCCTAGAGAGGGAAGGAGAAGAGGCTCAGTGAGGCAGAAGAAGCAGATGCGGGGAGCAGGCAGCCACGAGGGCTGAACCGTACCGAGAGCAGGAGTCAAGAGCTTCATCTGGATCTCCCACATGAGTGCAGGGACCCGAGCACTTGGGCCATCTGCCACTGCTTTCCCAGGTGCGTTATCGGGAGCCAAATAGGAAGTGGAGCAGCTGGGAGTCGAACTGGCATCCACATGGGATGCCCTTGTCACAGGCAGCAGCACTGGCCTCTGTAGTTCCAGTTTAAATTTAAATCCCATATGTGAGTGGTGGTCACTGTTGTGGGCCACACAGATGACAGTGAGGAAATGATGGTGACGGGAGGGAACTTCAGAGCACACAGCAAGGCAGCAGGGCTGAACAGCACTGTCCCCTGGCCTTGGTATGAAACCACGTGTAATGTCATGCATTCTAGTAGAAACTTTAAAAAAGAAATAGGGAAAATTAAGTTCAATAATTTACTTAATCCAAAACATCATTTCAACCTGTAATAAATACAAGACACCACAAAAGAGATACTTTTCATTTTCTTCCAAGGCTTTGAAATCTGGTGTATGTGTTGTAATACATCTTGTTTTGAACTAGCCACACTTCAAATGTTCAACAGCAATGCATGCATATAGCTGCCAAACTGGTCTGAACAAATGTAAAGTAATTGATCTGGATCCAGAACACTCTCTGAGAGGATAGATCTGAAGTTAGAAGGGACACAAAAAGCACGGGCCTGGGGTGGGAGAGCTGAGAGCAACGCCATTGATAGAACTCCTGGGCTGAGTCTGCACCGTCCCATACCATGGCACCAGCCACAGGTGACTGCCGGGCACAGAAGAGTGGCTGGTGCAACGGGGAGCTGAGTTTTTAACTTAACTTGGCTTCCACTGATTGAACTGTGAATGATCACATGTGACTCATGGTGGCTGTGTTGGACTGCACAGCTCTAGAGACACAACTTCTGTATAGAGGACATGAAGACATAGCCATGATCCACGTGGGGAAGCCGAGGGGGACGTAAGACAGAGGGGGAGCCAGACGCACCAGAGCAAGAAGAAAAGAGCAGGATGTTGTGGGGGAGAGAGCACAGCCAAGTGTCCATCGGCCAGGACAAGCTGACGGAGAGGGGGCATGCAAGAGAAAGATACACGGGACGGAGCGTGAGACACAGGGGGAAGGAGGCAGGGGACACCATGTGGGGCACACACAGGACCAACAGAGTGATGGAGTGGGGAGGGAGTTGCATTGCAGGGACCCGTGTTCTTCCTTTGTGCGGGCGTCTCAGTTTCCTCAAAGTGAAGTGACCATATCTAAGGACTCCCTGTCAGGTGAAGCTCTCCTGAGGAGAAAGTGACCTACTGAGTGCACTATTTGTTGGCCTGCACTTAGTAGGCCTGGGAGGGGCCTGGCTGACAGTGGGATAATCTCCCTTGCTGAGGGTGTAATGGTGGGCTGTGGTCCCCGCCCTTCAGGCCCACAGTGAATGATGTCGGCCTGAATGAAAGTCATTCATACTCCAGTCCACTCTGGAACACCAGGTCCCCAAGGGTGCATGGGAGGGAGCACTGGGTGGACGCGGCTCCTCAGTGAAAGAGGCCGTCAGTTCAGCGTCCTCACCCCTGGCCTTGGCTTTTCTAGCATGTGATCCGCGGGAACCGCCCAATCAAAACAGAGATGGCCCATCAGCTCTATGTCCTTCAAGTCCTGACCTTTAACCTCTTAGAAGAAAGAATGATGACCAAGATGGACCCCAATGACCAGGTAGGTGCTACCTTGTTGACTTCATGTTGTCTCTCACAGTGCTGTATTCCACCCGTGGTCCAAGGACCATGCACTGGGCTTGGTCTCTGCTGAAGTGATGTGCATCCATCCTGGAAAACAGGTGCAGCTCCTGAGTTTACACCTGCTGTGACTTCCTGTGTGTCACGCCCATTTCTGTTCTGCTTTGGTAGCGGTGCTGCCTCCTAAGAGGTTGGTTGGGACCATAGGTTGGTCCAGAAAGGCCTGACCCTAACCTAGTGTCTCTTTCCTTGCTTCCCTGACCTCGCTAATTCACCTGCTGATGTCTGTTTCACCTCTCAGGCTCAAAGAGACATTATTTTTGAACTGAGGAGAATTGCGTTTGATGCAGAGTCTGACTCTAGCAATGCCCCTGGGAGCGGGACTGAAAAACGCAAAGCCATGTACACCAAGGACTACAAAATGCTGGGCTTTACCGTAAGTACCCCAGAGCATGGGTGATGAGAGGCCTTCTCCCCTGATGGGAAGTTGGAGGTCCAGCCAGATAGGGCCCTGACAGCCCCTTCTACATAGTGGTTTCCCTGGGTGAGATGGAAGTGGGAAGCCAGTGGGGCCGTCTTTGTGGAGGCACATCTGTAAGTGCACTATTTGGGCCCCCATAAAATGAATCTATCTATAGAAGCACCTAGGAGGTCAACCGGAGTTAGGGGGGTAGGAGACGGGGAGAGGAGCCCTGTCCTGGCCCCAAGGTAACTCAGCTCTTTGCAAAGCTAGAGAGAATGCTCTGTGACAGGCGACAGCTTGAAGATGGGGTTAGTTTATGGTATACCTGCTCAGTGCTGGGCAGAGTGCTCAAGTGTGGGGAACACAGGATGAGGCAGCCACAGTCCAGCACCCTGGAGCTGGCAGTGTCACCGTTGACATGAGCAAGTGTGAAAAGCTCTGGGACAGGAGAATGACGTGCTGGTGACCCAGAGAGCAGGCCGATGGGGCCTCCCCTCAGTCCATACCCGACACAGGCAGGTCACCAAGTCACAGACCCAATCTTCCCTTCTACAGAACCACATCAACCCAGCCCTGGACTTCACCCAGACTCCCCCGGGCATGCTGGCCCTGGACAACATGCTTTACTTGGCTAAAGTCCACCAGGACACCTACATCCGGGTAAAGGCGGGGGCTTTCCCTCTTGTTCCTGGAGCCGCGTCTTTTGCCTTCCCTGCTAACCTCCCTAAAGCACTCGCTGATTCCTCTCTGCCTCCCACCCACCCCCAGATCGTCTTGGAGAACAGCAGCAGAGAAGACAAACATGAATGTCCCTTTGGTCGCAGTGCCATCGAGCTCACAAAAATGCTCTGTGAGATCCTGCAGGTCGGGGAGCTGCGTAAGTCTCTGCTACCCCATTCCCCCGTCCTGCCCACCACTCCTGGCAGTCAAGAGCCTGGTGACACTGGAGGTCGAAAACAGACATCAGGAGGACTGACCACCTCAGGGAATGTTTTGTTTCCAGTATTTCTAACTACTGCATGGAACAATCCATTGCGTTCTGACTGATGGAAGGAGTCAGAGGTGTTGCTGCGTTTGAGCTGTTCATCCGAGGCTTGTTCAAAAGCCGTCCCATGGCCCTGTGTAAGGACTGAGTCCACAGCAGGGCACAGGCAGGCTGAGGTGAAAGTCTGCCTAGGAAAGCCGGGACAGTGGGGAGAAAGGCCCATGCCTCGTCAGCCACAGTTCCTGGTCGGCTTCTGTTCCGGGACTCCAGGGCAGAGGAGCCAGGGTCGTAAGTCCCAGGCCCCCGCAGGCAGACCCCTCAGCCTTTCCCCGTTTCTCTGCTCCCACAGCAAATGAAGGGCGCAATGATTACCACCCGATGTTCTTTACCCACGACCGGGCTTTTGAAGAGCTCTTTGGAATCTGCATCCAGCTGCTGAACAAGACCTGGAAGGAGATGAGGGCTACGGCAGAAGACTTCAACAAGGTCAGTGTCACCTGCTCCGGGGTCCCCCAGATGGAAGCTGCCCAGGGAATCCCACAGCTGGAAAACCAGCCTGGTGTACAGTACTGAGTCAGAGAGCTCCGTTCCCACCTTCTTGCACATGCCTCTTCAACCGTGGCACCCCGGGCCTTCATCACTCCATGAAGCCAACACTTCTCTCTCTCGTCCTCCCAGAGTTCACTGCGCATCAACTGGGCAGGCACTGTTGTTGTGTGGTGGGCTGGAGATGTGAGGAGAGGCAGGAACGGACTGACGTGCCATGCGTGTCCTGGGTTCTCGGGCAGTTGTTGTGCCTGTGGAGCACCATGCAGGCCCTTGAAGCTGAGCATCTCAGAGCTGAGTGTGTGGGAAGTGGAAAGCACGACCGAGAGAAAGGCAGCCAACAGCAGCCGGTTCAGTGCAGTCCTCTAGTCTTTGTTTTTTGGTAGGTTGCTTCCCGCCATGCAGTGTAGAAACCCACTTGTGTCTTTAATAGCTGATGATTCCCGGGAGCAAACACCACCTGTCTGCTCATAGGCGCCATGCCCTCCTTCTGCTAGCATCTCATGCTCTGGCAGCACAGGATAGCAGGAGACATGACTTCCTGTCCTTCCCTTTAAGCATGAGTAGATGGTGGTCTGAGCATAGTAAGTGACTTCCTCAAGTAACAGACTAAGGGACAGAATCCAAAGCAGAACCTGTTTCTGATTTCAGACACCTGTGCTCACTTCTTTACTCTGCTGGTGATTGAAATATTTGAGAAGAAAGACTTCTGTGTCACCATCAGTCACCTGACTGAGTGGGCCACCTGTCTGAGCAGGTGTGCATGCTCTCTCACTCAGCTGGCGTGTGCAGTGCCCACGCGGCTCAGACCCTGGGCCAGGAGAGATCCCAGGTGCCTCACTGCTGGCCCATCTCTCTTCCGGAGCACAGACTCAAGTCAGCCTTCCTCTCTCCTCATAGGTCATGCAGGTAGTGAGAGAGCAGATCACCCGAGCCTTGCCCTCCAAACCCAACTCCCTGGATCAGTTTAAGAGCAAGCTGCGCAGCCTGAGCTACTCAGAGATTCTGCGGCTGCGCCAGTCTGAGAGGATGAGTCAGGATGACTTCCAGTCCCCGCCCATTGTGTAAGTGCCCACCCGCAGGGTTCTGCCCGCCTCTGTAAGCCCCGCTGTCCCTGGGACCCTGTGCCCCCCAGCGTGTGTGTGTATCTGTCCCCGTGCCCACCCACAGGACTCTGCCCACCTCTGTAAACCCCACTATATGTGTGTGTGTGTGTGTATGTGTATCTGCCCCAGTGTCCACCCGCAGAGCTCTGCCCACCTCTGTAAGCCCCACTGTGTCTCTGCCCCAGGGAGCTGAGGGAGAAGATCCAGCCCGAGATCCTGGAGCTCATCAAGCAGCAGCGCCTGAACCGCCTCTGCGAAGGCAGCAGCTTCCGGAAGATCGGGAACCGCCGGAGGCAAGGTGAGCGCTGGCCTTGCTGGGACCAGGCAAACCCCACTTGACCCCTCAGCCCTTGGGCGGCCGAGGCTTTTGCCAGCACCGCCCTTAACCTGCCCGGCTCCCCCTGTGTTCCAGAGCGGTTCTGGTACTGCCGCCTGGCGCTGAACCACAAGGTCCTGCACTATGGTGACCTGGACGACAACCCTCAGGGGGAGGTGACGTTCGAATCCCTGCAGGAGAAAAGTAGGTGTTGACGTGTCACGGCAGCTGGACCCTTCAGCGGGCCTGACTTCTGGTCCCGGCTTGGGCCTGTTTGCATGGCCATCAGAGCGCGTCATTCCTGGGCAGTCTCACAGGGCTGTGTGGATGATGAGTGAGCTCACCCAGGGGGCTGTGGGAAAGGCTCCAGACCACATCCTGAATTCAAATACTGGCCTTGCCCCTCATTGGCTGCTCCTTCTAATTAACTGCCAGTGAACCCTCCCCTCTGCCTGGTAGAACAGCCTTAATAGTCTCACTAAGAGGGTAGCACGAGAAATCCACTCACAGTGCTCCCCAGAGCGCTGGCAAGCAGCTGCCACTGTCATCTTCCTTACGTGAGGGAGAGCAGGGGTGAGTGTCCCAGGCCCTGTTCCTCCGGGAGATGAATCAGGAGCCCCAAAGTGACCCCCAGGGGGAGCTTAGACACAGCTTCACCAGGCCGTGGTCATGGGTAGGGCCCACAGAGGTGGGAGCAGCCCCAGGCCACGCTCCACCACCCGCTCCCCGAGCCAGCCAGCATCGAGGCGACCAAGCTTCATGGGCACACTGCCCAGGGCTTCCTCTCCCAGCCCTGAAGCTGGCACCAACCAACTTGCAGCACCAGCTTCCAGAGGCTGATCCCATCCTTTCTCAGTTCCTGTTGCAGACATTAAGGCCATTGTCACTGGGAAGGACTGTCCTCACATGAAGGAGAAAAGCGCCCTCAAGCAGAACAAGGTGAGAGGAGGGGCTGTCCCCGGGGGTCAGCCGCTGGGGAACCAGGGAGAACAAGGTGAGAGGAGGGGCTGTCCGGGGGTCAGCCGCTGGGGAACCAGGGAGAACAAGGTGAGAGGAGGGGCTGTCCAGGGGTCAGCCGCTGGGGAACCAGGGAGAACAAGGTGAGAGGAGGGGCTGTCCCCGGGGGTCAGCCGCTGGGGAACCAGGGAGAACAAGGTGAGAGGAGGGGCTGTCCGGGGGTCAGTAGCTGGGGAACCGGGGAGCACTGCGGGGTGGAGGAGGGGGCTTTCATGCTGTGTGTACACATTGCTGAAACTGTCCCTGAGCGTGTTTTAAGGAGAACTTAAGGTATACATAAAGATAGGTAGAACCCCCTGGCCTCAGCGGCCAGGCAGATTCTGCCCACCCACCGGTTCCTCTTCCTCAGTGCTTTGAAGAATACCTAAGCATTGTGCTATTTCATCCATAAATATATAGTGTGGGTCTTTACCATATAGGGCTTCTCCTAACATAACCCCAATCACTTTATCACACCCACCAGGAAATTAAAGTGAAATTATTTCATATCAGGTATTGCACTGATATTTGAATTTCTATCCTTAAAAAGGTTATAATATATATGGCTATGTGGATAATACACACACACACAAAAAAATACTGGTACCCATATTGTTTGCATTATAATCCAAATAAGGTTCCACGTTTTATAATTCTCTTTTGAACATCTTAATTCACCAGTTCTCTTTCACCTTTTCGTATTTTCTGCTTGTTTGCTGGTTTTCCAGCATCTGACCCTTGCTGGTCATCTCCCTGTGGTGCAGTTGAACCCACTGGTCCGTCCCAGCTCTGTAAATCAGTAGTTCTGCAGGACCACATCCTAGCTGGCATCGTGTCCCGTCAAGGGGCACACAGTGTCCACCATCTCTCCTAACAACAGCAGCAGCCTGGGAACACTCAGTCCTCCCTCCCGTTAGTAGATTAAGGTTTGCAAAGGAACGCTCGTCTCTTTCGGTCCTGCCTTCTGTTGAAGATCCCACTGCTCCTGTACAGGGAAGCTCGCCCTTGCTTCCGGTTGGTTTCTCTGCAGAAGGAGAATCCACTCACGTTTGAGTCTGCTTGTGTGGAACCACTTAAAAACAATGAGCAAATTCCCTGGTATTGATAACAATGACCAAGTGTATATAGTCCTTTTTTTTGAGTATTATGAACTAATTTAAGCAAATTAAATCTGCTTCAGCCCATTCTGGTCCTGTATTGATGCTCCATTGTCTCCTGTTTGTCTGTAATTTGCTTTTGTTGTGATTTTTTTTATACTCTTCAGCATTCCCTATGTTCATTACAGCATGATAAAGGAAGTCAATCACCTCAGTGATAAAACATAAAAACTTGTAGCATCCACAGCCATGGACTCTGACATTTAAGGGAGTGAGTGTGGAAAACTGGTTTTCTTGAACCCTAAAAGGCTCACCATTTCTTCGGTGTGGCTTGGGTCTCCAGCCACACCTGTGTGCCTGCTGGGGGCCTTGGAGACTCACATCGCATCTCCTTCTGGTGATGATGCCACACACTAGGTTCTGGGCAAGATCTTCGTGTACAGAACCCAGGGCATCCCACTGCTCCCAGTAACCCCAAACCCTTCCTCCTGCAGGAGGTGTTGGAACTGGCCTTCTCCATCCTCTATGACCCTGATGAGACTTTGAACTTCATAGCCCCTAACAAGTACGAGGTGAGCTGGATGATGCTGTCTGGGGAGGAAGTCTGGGCAGTACCCAAACGTCCCTCTGAACCAGGTGGCCATAGTGCAGTGAAGGCCACTGGACACCCAGGGCCAGTTTCACCTCTGAGCTGTGGCTCTCCACGCGACTCCAGCAGGTTGTCCTTGGGAAGATGGGGTCAGCCGTGAATGGTTTCCTCTTACCTGAGACAGGTGGCTTTTCCCCCTCCGGGTTCTCCATGACCACACCCTGACAGAGGCCGCCTCCTTGGTGCTCCCATTCACACAAGGTCTCGCATCTGGCTTGGGCCTTGAGGCTGGGTTCTGGGCAGACCTCTTCTGACTGGGGACTTGGAGGCTCCCAGGAGGGTGCTAGGTAGCAAATGAGACGCCAGGTGCCTGAGGAGCCCCTCGGACAGGGCTGAGCCCCAGTGGAGCTTTGTTGGGCTTGGGGAAGAACAGGTGGGAGGGTAGCAGGTGAATAGAGGCAGTTGGAGGAGTGGGGCAGGTGGGCTGAGAAGAGCTCGGGGGACCCTCCCACGGCGTTTTAGCATCTGTGGATAAGCATATTACGGCTAGGTTGCTTTTTATTTGCTGTTTTGCAAACAAGAAGAGCCTGCAGTGACTCCTGTTGATGTCCTACTTTTGTCACTGAACACATGCTCTCCCCCTCCCAGTTCCCACTTTAGGGTCCCATTTTGCTGTATCCATTAGTTGTATTTCTAAGTCAAAAGCAAATGGTCTCTTGAGAAAGTGGGTTTACCTCTGCCATCATCACTTTCCGCCTGTACCCAATACCCAATCCAGAAGGGAGGATTGTGAGTCCCGGCAGCAAGGGAACTGCCTTGGGGTCAGCACATGACATTGGACAACTTGCCGCCCACAGTACTGCATCTGGATCGATGGCCTCAGCGCCCTCCTGGGGAAGGACATGTCCAGCGAGCTGACCAAGAGCGACCTGGATACCCTGCTGAGCATGGAGATGAAGCTGCGCCTCCTAGACCTGGAGAACATCCAGATCCCTGAGGCGCCGCCACCTGTGCCCAAGGAGCCCAGCAGCTACGACTTCGTGTATCACTACGGCTGAGCCCGGAGCCAGAGCGCACAGGAGGGGATTTGGGGCCAGGAGCGACACTCCCAGTCTGGTGCCTTGTCCTTTTGCTTGTACAGAATCTGTTGCGATCGTGGTGGCCAGCCACTCCTCACACCCACTTCGGGCCACCCAGAACTTCCTCTTGGCCCCGTCCACCAGGGTCACGAAGGCGAGCTGTTCCGCCCTCCCTGTCACCACAAAGCCTGGGGTTGGGCCAGGAAGTCAGCAGCCCATGCCTTCCGGCCTGAGAAACTGCACGTTGAACCGGGTGTAACAACACTCAATCTCCTTTTCGGCAGCAGCCTGCTCTCTGAGAACGGGAGGAGCTGGCCCGGGAAGGGCTGTGTGCTGTGGACAGACAGGCCAGGCTTGGAGAGCCCGCAGAGTGACCGGCATGGGGTGACCTGCGTGTGTGACCCTTGGCCTTTGCCTCTGTCTCCTGCACGAGGGCTTGCTCCAGCCTCATTCGGTGCCAAGATGCTGCTGGCTCACCAGGTCTGGCTCCAGCACTGGTCTCTGGAGCCACCAGATCTCTCTCTGGGCTAAATGGGGACATCCGGCCCTGTGAGCTCTTAGTCTCCTCCAGGCCTCATAGCCCACAGGACAGCTACAGGGAAAGCCCAGCAGAGGCCTGTGATAAAGCCAACCCACCCCGCAACCCCACTTCCCCATGTTTCTATCTCATCCTTCCTCAGGGAGAAAAGCTCCCAGCAGTCTGAACAGTGGCCCCCTCCGTTCTAAGAGCCCAGGAGATTTGCCATCCCTTCCTCCTCTTCCTTGCGCTGTGGTTTCTGCCATGGGCCAGGATTTCAGGGAACTGGCTGAAGCCGGCTGAGGCCACAGCCGTGCCACCAGGCATCCCTGGTGCTGCAGCACCCGTGACCCACACACGTAGCCTCTGTCCGTAGTTTAATACGGTGGCGCTCAGTTTCGGTAACCGGCGTGGCAGGTACGACCCAATGAAGAGTGGACTCTATTTTCTCTACTATAGGCCATACTTATATAACCCTGTATATATATATTTATATAATATCAGCCTATCCTAGGAGTGAATGCTTGGGGGAGGGGAACCTGGAGGGCGGGGTGGGAGGGGGAGGCACCACTTCCGGCAGCAAGCCGAGACTATATGGGGACAGTGGTCAGAAGCTTCTTGTCAGTAACCATGTTTTCAATAAATACTCTTTCATGTACAAACCGCGGTTCCTCATCACAGCTCTGTTCCCCTGTCCTCACTTCACCTTGGCAGAGGGTCTGGGAGACTGGAAGGTTCTAGCCAGTAACCCTAGGCCTCATCCGAGAGCTGCTCCATCCTCCTTGTTCATGCTGATCACATACACACGCACCCACCTGCTCACGGAGGTCCCAGATTGTTGCAGCCGGCACAGCAGGGAGCAGCATACAGTACACCCTGTTCATTCGCAGACTCCCTCTCCTCCTGACAAGGAACAGCACTAAGGAGACACACTCTTTCCCCCGCATGCTGCCTGCGCCTTGTGCCCGGCCTGCCAGCTGGTGTTTCCAGCTGCTGCTCCAAACTTTGGCCTTGGGAGCCTTGAATGACTACAACAATGAGAATAGATGCTTTCCCCTTGCCTGAGAGAAAGAGCGCCAGACGAGCTCCTTCCAAAGGCAGAGAGCCTGCCGGCAGGATAGGCCTTGAGGTCTGCAAAGAGCGAGCCCCGGGGCAGTGCTGGCTACCACTGTAGGTGCTAGGTGCTTGGTAAGTGCTGAATGAACCAAGGCCAGCTGGCAGCAATGGCAGCAGTTTGCACAAAGCGTTGCTTACACTGGCCTTGAGCCTAGTATGCAGAGCAGCCTAGCTGTGTCGCTTGCAGGGAGCCTGTCTTCATGCAGAACTCAGGAAGAGAGTGGAGAACAAAACGCACAAAACTGGACTTTGGTGTGCTGCCCAGTCAGCCTGGCCAAAGAGCTTGCCCTGTCCACAGATCTGCCCCGTTTAATGAATCCTTCAGGGGGAAAAGCTTAAGTCTCCAGACTAACATTCTGGGGTCACTCTCCCAGCTGTCTCTGATACCCTTGGAAGTCACCTGGGCTCCAGACGGGGCTGGCTGGAGACTTCTCTATCCCTCTTTAGGAATCCTTCCTTTGCCTCTGGCTGAGCTGCTGGCCCCCTGCTCTACCTGGTTCACAAACAACACTCCCCAAGCAGCTTCAGCTCCCAGGAGGAGAGCTTCTGAGAGACCCCTGTGTCTTCTATAGCGACCGGCTCCGCCCCGGCCCAGCACGGCCCCGCCCCCTAACTCGGCTCCGTCCCTCACCGGCCCCGCCCCTCCAGCGGTTTCCGGCGGAAGTTCCGTTCCCTCCGTCAGCACGGTGGCGGCTCTCCGGGATCGTACTTCCGGCAGGAGCTCCCAGGACGGAGGTAAGGGAGTGCGTGGCAGCAGTTTTGCAAACCCGACTGGCCGGGGCTGGAAACCGAGAGCAGGATTCCTGGCCGGGCCGTGCGCTGCGGCGGAGGGCAGGTCCGGCTTCGGGACCCACTGCCAGGCTCAGTTCCCCTCCGGGGCTGGGAGGTGGCCCAGGCGCCCGCTTGCGAGCCAGCTGCCTTGCAGCAGCTCGCCTGGCAAGTACCGAGCACCCCTGGGTCGCCCCTAGCCCCGCCGCGGAGGTGGGGTGGGCTGGGCAGGGACCACGTGAACAAACAAGCACAGGTCAGAAGCCAAGTGCCACGAGGCTGGGGAGAGGGCTCAGCCGCGGAGGGAGGCAGAGGGGATTGCAGCGGGTGCCAGGGAGGACGGGACTGGACCTTGACCAGCGGGGGAGACCACTGCGCCCGATGCGGGGTTAGCGGGGATGTGAGTGAGGGTGCATAGAGCTCAGGGCCTGGGCTTCGCTGCAGACGGGCCATCATCTTCTTGGCTCTTGGTGGACTCCACGCGGTGGGGCCAGAACAGTTCCCTGGGGGACCAGCTGGGAGGTGAAGAGGCAGTCATGGCTTGGATGGAGCGGAGCGAAGAGAGGCAGGTGTTGGCGGGGGACTTAACAGCGGGAGTGGGAGAAAGGGGTCATTGGTGTTTGCACCTGGCTTCAATATCCTGGCTTACCATGCTGGTGTTTACTGAATGCTTTTTGCAATAGGCTGGGTGGTACTAGGGGTAAGGATGTTTTGTGTGTTCCTTATTTCGCATGGCACTACCCAGCATGCCATTGGAAAGGCCTGGACCTTTCGGAAAAAGTCAGGGTTAATATGAAGAATGTAGCGAACCGGGCGTGGGCCTTGGCTGGGAGGATGAGAGCAGGGTGAGAGTTGAGCAAGACACGTCAGGCTGCAGGGCTTGCCCAGTTGGTGTTGGTTGGAGTAGCAGGGAGTGGCAGCGCAGAAAAGCCAAGAACTCGTCCCAAAAAGCGGAAGAACCAGGCTGCATCTGACCAAGCTCTCAGTGGCTCTGCAGTGCCCAAGAGGGGAAGTGGTCGGGGTGCCAGGGGGTGGGAGCTCGGGAGGCTGGCAGAGCAGGGCGCTTCTGAGGGCGTTGTGCTGTGAGGACCGTGAGCCAGCGTTACCTGCTGTACCCACACTCCCTTCCGTCACGGCCGGAGAAAGCCAAGGCCACATGGCGGGTTGCTCAGGAGTAGGTGCCAGGATCGGACCCCAGGTCTCTGCCAGATTGGGGGGCAGTGGACACGTGCAGCAGTTCCTGGGCCCTGCCCTCACGTGGCTGCCTGGGGACGTTGAGGCAGAGCATGGAAGGGCCTTCCTGGGTGAGGAAGGTTTAGGACACAGCCTTTACCCTTTGAGCTTTGTCTTCCATTACGAAGTCAGGGCTGGGGGAGGGAGGCTGACGCTGGCTGGTTCTGTGTTTGTCTCCAGGGCGAGGCACATGGCATGGGGCTGGTTTCCAGGTGTCCTGCCTGAGGTCCAGCTTCGAATTGGTCGGTAAGCCAGCCCAATGGGAGAGCAGGAGCGTTGTTAGCTTTAGCAGTGCTGTTGTTATGTGTAGAGCTGTGAGGATGCAGGAGTTTACTGGCAGGGATGGATGGAGTGGGGGCTACGGCAAACGCAGATGATGATGTGAGCTGATTCCTGGTGGCCATCCCGGCTCAGGAACCTGGGGCAGAGTGCTCTGTATCCTGTGCTTGGCAGGCAGCGAGTCGCACTTGGCCGTATCTGGAGACTCTGGGGGCAGGGGGCGAAGGATGCTGCTGCCAGCATTGGCTGGAGGCCAGTGACATTGCTAAACACCCTGCAGTGTCCCAGAAAGAACATCTCCCCAGGGCGGGCAGAAAAGTGCTGTCCCAGAGCTGCACGACACAGGTTCGGGGTCTGCGGCCCCGTGCCAGTTGTCTGGGAACTCCAAGGAGACAGCTTCGTTGTTTGGAGAGCCCTCAGGCTGTGGTCCTGGCAGAAGGCGGGAGAGGTGTGGGGAGTAAGGTTGTTTGTGGAAGAATTGACTGTCAGTTTTGCACTTAGAGAGGAAGGAAGCCAGGATGAGAGCCAGGGTGTGGCCTGGAGCAGTGTGTGAGTGGCAGCCCCACTTGTGCGCTGGGCATGAGATGGGAGAGGACGCAGACACTGTGGGCACTGGGTACCTGGTGGTAAACACCTGGGGGAAGGGGCGAGGAGCCTGCATTGGGGTTCATCACAGGAGACGGCCCCTTCTGCCCACACAGGGAAGGCCTTGGAATAAGCGAGCCTGCCATGGGTGGGGCAGGACAGCGGCTCTCCACACACTGAGCTATCTTGTTGTTATGGATGTATTGTAGCAGTGCTCTGTTAGCCTGAAATGAAACTGTGGCTGATTAAAATCTGCCCACGCCTCATCGTTAACACTCGACCATAACCTGAAAGGAGAGTCTTTGGCAGCCAAGGAACGTGTGTCCCAGCGTCTAGTTGCTGTGCGCAGCAATTCCAGGAGTCACGGGCTTCCCTCCTCGGTAGGGCTTCCCTCCTCGGTAGGGCTTCCCTCCTCGGTAGGGCTTCCCTCCTCGGTAGCGCCTCCAGGCCTGGGCAGCTGCAGGTGCAGGCCGCGTGCCCATGCTGTGCTGGCCGCTCAGTACACACGCTGCACCATCACTGTTGGCACTGTTTTAACCAAAGGGGAGTCTCTCCCCAGTGTCCATAGCAAATGTCTGCTTGTATGGGTGTCTGTCCAGAACATGGGTCTGTGAATGAGGCTGTAGTCGCCCAGGATATACAGTTAGTCGTGTGGCATGCCTCATTGCTAACTGTCAAGATAACCCACTAAACCCCACTGCAGGTCCCCACATCTCCCCTAAAAAGAACCGCAGTCCTGGAGAGTCCCTGGGCCAAGCCTCGTGCTAGCTCTTCTCTTGCCTTTGGGGAGGGGCAGTGATAAGCCAGGCTCCAGAGGACAGACCAGAGAGGACAGGGCTGAGACAATCCTGGAAGGCTTCAAGGAGGAGGTGGCCTTTCAGCAAGTCAGGAATGTCTCCACGGAGAAGATAAAAGAGGGGGGATGCCCTGGTGAAGTGGCAGGTGTAGCAGTTCTAGACCCGGCACTCCTCCAGGCACAGACTGGTCCTCCTGGTCTCCCACACCTGACAAGGAGGCAGGGAGTGGCTGAAGTTGGCCCTGTCTGTGTGGGAGCAGTTGGTAAAGGCCCATTTTAACCCCTCAAGACTAGATCTGTCCCCCCAAGTATCACACTTGTTCTGTCACAGAGTGGCAAATTCACAGGATGCAGGCGTCCAGGCACGCCAGTCCTGTATTTGCAGGGGACACACGTGACTCAAGACCCCTGCCTGAGTGCTGTGCAGAACAGAGAAGGGAACCTGGCCCCCTGGGAGTGACGTTTGAGCTGAAGGAAGCAGGTTGAAGTGAGAAGGGACTGCGGGGTTGCCGAGAGTTCCAATCCTTGTGGGAGCAGAAGGCCCAGTGCGCTTGGGGCAATAAGGAGTAGCTTGTGGAGCCCAGATCAGCCCCTGGACCCCTGCTTGCTGCCAGGCCCTGGGCAGCCCGAGACAGGGCTGCAGCTGAGGACACTCCGCCCACACCTGCCCCTCTCACCTGCTTCTCCATGTCTTTCCAGCAGCAGGCCTGGAGACCCGTGTGTCTCACATCCTGTTGGCCATGGAAGGCGTTGGCTTGGGCCACCAGCCTCTCAGGTGAGGCCTGCCCTGGACTCCGTTGACCCCAGGAGTCATGGCGGAAAGGGCAGACTCTCTGGCCAGGAGACGACGGCCTTGTTGAGAGTCAGTCCAGCTCGGTGCACCTCCGTGCGCCACCTTCAAGAGAGGCACCTGTCCCCGCCGGGCCTCCACGGATGGGGAGGTGGGCCGTGGACGTGGCCTTTGTGTGGAAGGCGCTGCTGACACTGGGCCTGGTCCTTCTGTATTACGGCTTCTCCATCGGTATCACCTTCTACAACAAATGGCTGACCAAGGTACCTGGAGGCCAGGGCATGGGCGGGGAGGGCAGTGGGGACCCGAGCCTCGCTTCCCGTGTGTGGGTCAGGTTGAAATGTGGGACAGTGGGAGACGCCCAGTGATGAGCTGAGGAGCCTGGGGCCCGGGGATGCAGCTCCTTACTACGCGGCCACCAGCTATCCTGGGACTTTAACTGAGACAGCACATTGGCCATGGCGACTCTTACCCAGCCGTGGGCTAGGCAGGTGGCCAGCAGGTGTGTCGAAGTACTAGAGGCCGGATGGGGCCCCAGGGCCTCCAGTGTTAAGACAAACAGGCCCCGCGCAGGCAGGAGCCCTGCCACCCTTTTCTGGAGGCGGGAGACGGGCGCTGGGCCGGCTGGCTCACCCCGGCCTGGGCATCATCTGCTTTGCACCCGCACAGAGCTTCCACTTCCCCCTGTTCATGACGATGCTGCACCTGGCCGTGATCTTCCTCTTCTCCGCCCTATCCAGGGCCCTCGTTCAGTGCTCCAGCCACAGGGCCCGAGTGGTGCTAAGCTGGGCTGACTACCTCAGACGAGTGGCTCCCACGGGTACGTGCCTCCAGGGTGCGGCGGGAGAGGGCTGCTGGGGAGGGCGGTCAAGGTCAAGTGTCCTGGATCTGGGTGGGGCCCCTGATCAGGGAACTGAGAGGGAAGTGAAAGGATGGACAGGAGTGGGTGAGGCAGAAGGAGAAAGGAGAAGTCAGACCCTGGGGGCCAGGCACGGGGTGTTGGGGGAGCGTTATGGGCCCCCAGCCTGGCGCTGGGGCACACCCACTCCTACTTGCCTGGGCAGATGTTAACCCTGTAGCTGCCGGGTGACAGCGGAGGTCCAGCAGCCCTAGGGAGGGGTGCTGGAGTCACTCAGAGCCGTGTCCCGGCTCAGTGTGGGGGCCCTGTCTCCGCAGCGCTCGCCACAGCCCTTGACGTGGGCTTGTCCAACTGGAGCTTCCTCTATATCACCGTTTCACTGTGAGTGCCCTCCACGCCCTGCTGGCCGCTCCACCACCCCCTGGCACCCGCCCTCCTTTTCTCAGCGCCTCCACGGGATGCCAAAACAGAGGGCAGTGAGCTGCAGAGCCTGTGGCCGCATCTCAACCCCAGGGGCCGTGCCGTGGCTCTTCAGAGAACACAGTCCACCTCCCTACCCCTCTTCCTTCCTCCCATGCTCCCTTCCACTTCCTGGTATCCAGCCAGGGCCAAGTAAAGGGAGGGGACTCTGAGCCAAGTGTCAGCCCGTGGCCTCTTGTCCTGGTGACAGTTAGAGGCCTCTGGAACTCTGTGCCAAATCCGGGTCCCAAGAAAGCTCAGTCCAGCTCCTGTTGATCCTTGTTCCCCAGGTGCCCAGCTGTCCCCTTCTTCCCCAGCCCCCTGGTGCGTGCTCCCCCGGCAGGGTGGGTCTGAACCACAGGCACCTGGCTGCATTGTGGGTGATGTTCACTTCCAGGTACACGATGACCAAATCCTCCGCCGTCCTCTTCATCTTGATCTTCTCTCTGATCTTCAAGCTGGAGGAGCTGGTGAGGCAGTGCGAGCGGCTATTTTCTCCTTTCTCCCCCTGTGGGTGCGGAGAAAAACCCTGGGGACGGGGGTTATTATATCTTTATATATAAAGAGGGGACAGGGCCAGCCCAGGTGGCAGTAACTCCCTGCCCTGGGAAGGTACTGAACAGGAAAGTCTGTGGAGACGCTGCCTTCCTGTCCCCTGGGGAGGGGCACAGCCACCTGGGGGCCGTGGGACATGGCTACTGAACATCAGCCATGCGTGCATTGGTGGGCAGGCACCAGCCAGGACCCTTGAATCGGGTGAGGGAAGCAGGCCTCCTCGCCCCAAGTGTGCCAAGCACCTGGGTTGGCTGCAGCTGCCCCTGCCCACCCCCTAGACACACGTATACACCCCTGGTTTCTAGCGCGCAGCTCTGGTCCTGGTGGTCCTGCTCATCGCTGGTGGCCTCTTCATGTTCACCTACAAATCCACGCAGTTCAACGTGGAGGGCTTCGCCCTGGTGCTGGGGGCCTCGTTCATCGGCGGCATCCGCTGGACCCTCACACAGATGCTGCTGCAGAAGGCTGAGCTCGGTGAGTGCCTGCTACCACCCCAGGGAGGGGGCTTGGTGCTGGCCAGGCTAAGGCCACACAGGCCCCGCCTCATGGTGCCCGTCTCTGCCCCCAGGCCTCCAAAACCCCATCGACACCATGTTCCACCTGCAGCCACTCATGTTTCTGGGCCTCTTTCCTCTCTTTGCCGTGTTTGAAGGTATGTTGGGTCGTCCACCCCAGCGACACCTCAGTAAGGCAGGCCCCAGGTCCCCACTCTGAGCCCAGCCAACAGAGTGGCCGCGCTGCCAGACAAGAAAGCCGCTGTAGAAAGTCTTCAGTACAGACAGCGGCGACCATGACCTTGGCGGTGCGAACCCTCACGGGCTGCCAGGACTGCTCCAGTTGTTTTGAACATGCTAACAGTTCCTTCTGGCAGAAATCCTACACGGGAGGACTGACACCCCAATTTGCAGATGGGAGGAAGTGAGGTGCACAGGGCGCTTGCCTGAGGCTTCAAGGCCTGGACGGGAGCCTGACTTTGGAGCCAGCGGCCGGGCTCCTGTGGCCACCTGTCGTTTGTTTTGTCTTGCCTCCACAAGGAAGAGAGCAGGAGAGGGCAGCCCAGGCAAAGGACCCGGGAGGTCAGCCCGGCTGCCATGTGGCACAGGCTTGTCCGGGGTCTTGGCAGCACAGCATCTGCTGAGGCTCGGCTCTCAGGGCCAGGCTGGGGACGTGACGGTCGCCCACCTGCCTGCCGCCACTGTCATCTTGAGGAGGAAGCTGGTGTCCCTTTCCTTGCTCCAAGCTTTGAGGATTAGGCTGTGTCCTGTTGATCCGTCTGTCCTCAGGGTCAGTGCAGAAAATTCCATCCCACATCCATTTAGGTTTCAAGCCGCGAAGCATCTCAAACCTCCCTGAGAAAATTATTCCACCACCCCCGTTGTCCAGGAAACTTCTGTTGAGAGACTTTTTTTTTCCTCCTTCTGAAAATCTCCCCGCTGTTCCTTCATTCTGCCCCCTTGGCTGCCAGCGCTGCGCTTCCTGCCTGCCTGGTGTTCGTACGGTCCCCCGTCTTTGCAAACCCACGTCCAAAAGCCCCTGGTCGTCCTCACTTAGCAGAGCGCCATGGATTTAGCTCCTTTAATCTTTTCTGGTAAATTAATCCCCCAAGCGCCTTCATTACTTCCTCGCTCTTCCCCGAGTTTCCGTCGTTGGCAGATAGATGCCTCTGCAGCTCTGCTGAGCGCAGTTCCAGCCGAGACGCCCTGCCCTGGGCCGCACTAGCCTTTCCGCCCTGCTGTGCACACCCCCACCCACAGGGGGACTTGCTGCTGGCAGGAGCCCAGGAGTCCTTCACTCAGGTGGGCCATGCCTCTAGCCCTTTCCTTGTGTATTCACGGGTTTTCTTTGTAAGAAATGGTTGTCGGGCCGTGACGCCTGTCTGAATAGCCCCCTGCACCTCGTCCACTCACTTGACCAGCAGGGAGACCCGTGTGTCGGCCTCAGCCCATAGCTCTGCCCAGCAGGATCTAACATAACATGGAGATGTGGAGGGGCTGCTTGTCCAAGGCCTGGCTGAAATGGGGGCCAAGAGTCTTGCCTAGTGGGCCAGGCACTGCCCAGCTCTCCTGGGTCCCTCCATCACCACAACTGCAATCCCCTCCCATACCAGGCTGGCACTTCACAAGGCTTGTAGGAGAACGGAATTTAAAAAGGAGTTCATTTTGGTACCTGTAACACACATCTTCCTTGAACTGTGTGATCCCATCCCCCTATCCTACCCCCACCGCAAAGACCAACAGGTAACTACTGTTCAAGAGCAGGGCAGGGCTGTGCCAGCGTGTGCCTGTCTCGTGCGGGCGCTCCATGTCCCCATGTCACATTTTGGACCATCTGCCTGTTTAATCTTCCCACCGTCTCGCCTGGGGCTGCAGTCAGCAGGTGCTCAGAAGGCAGGCTCTGTCTGCTGTGATGCCGGCCAGGGCAACCCCAGCCCCAGCCCTCCCCTTCTCTCCCGTTGCTTCCAGGTCTCCATTTGTCCACGTCTGAGAAACTCTTCCGTTTCCAGGACACGGGGCTGCTGCTGAGGGTGCTCGGCAGCCTCTTGCTGGGCGGGATTCTCGCCTTTGGTCTGGGCTTCTCCGAGTTCCTGCTGGTCTCCAGGACCTCCAGCCTCACCCTCTCCATTGCTGGCATCTTCAAGGTATAGACTTGGAGGTGACCCCACTACTGCACTAGAGAGGAGCCCCCAAGGGCGCCTCTCAGAGGCTTCCCAGGACTCTGCGGGGAGGAGGAGGAGACCAGGTGAGGGCACAGCAGGAACAGCAGCTCTGCTCCCACCCAGGGAACACAGCAAGGGATTCCCAGACACATCTGACCCTGAATGCTCCCTCTGATTGTCTAGCCATCAGTGGAGGAACGCACATACAATCATCAGTAGAGTTCCGTGATTGATTGGTGATGTCTGCCATCGGCACAGCCTAGGGCAGCTGCCGTATGAGTGAGCACCGTGTGTGTTCTTTGTCTTGACCGCCACCTAACACCCCTCGCCTTTGCCACTGCTCGCATGTCTCCGTCTTTCTTCCCAGCCCCCTACTCACTCACACCCCGTCATTTCTGCAGTCCTCCCTGCCTGTAGAGCCCAGGCGATGGCAGCCTAGAGCAGACAGGCAGGAGCCTGAGGTTCTTCCAGGAGACATGCTGGTGCCCTCTGCAGCTGCTTGTGAAGGACTGGGGTGATGCCACACTTGGGCATGGGAGCATGGGCAGCGCCCTTATTCCTGGGGCCCTGGCCTAGGCTAGGTACCCTTTGTTGCCAGCCTTGGGTCTGGCTTGCCTGTTTGATTCATGGCAGAATTGTGCAGAAAACACCTCTTTGAGGGGAGGCTGGCAGGAAGAGGGATGTCGGCAGCGGTGGTCCCAGGCCACTCTGCTGATCGCCTCCCTCCCTGTCGCACGTCCCCCCAGGAAGTCTGCACTCTGCTGCTGGCCGCTCATCTGCTGGGCGATCAGATTAGCCTGGTGAACTGGCTGGGCTTTGCCCTCTGCCTCCTGGGGATATCCCTGCACGTGGCCCTCAAAGCCCTCCACTCCCGAGGTACCCAGGGCCCCTGCCCGGGCAGGCTTTCCTTCCCCTACACCCAGCCTCAGCCCTGGCTGTTACTCTTGGGGGGCGGGTGGAGGGAGAGGGGATAGGTGTGGCCGCCCTACCTGGAGGGGGTGGGTGGAGCCAGGGTGACTGCACTCCCAGTCTAGGCCAACCCTGGAGCTCTAACCCAGCTGTGGTCTCTAACCCAAGGTGACAGTGGCCCCAAGCCCCCGAAAAGCCTGGGCTCCAGCCCCGACCTGGAGCTGCTGCTTCGGAGCAGCCCACAGGAGGAAGAGGATGGCCGGGAGGAGGAGTACTTTGTGGCGCAGGGACAGCAGTGACCACCGGGTTGGCCAACACAGGAACTGACACGGTCAGAGGCTCGTGGCCCCTCCCCGCACTCCCCCCCCCAGCTGGAGCAGAGTGGACTGAGCCTCAGTCCCACCCGGACACACCCTACGGGGCCGAGCTGGAGCAGAATGGACTGCTTGCTGGGTTCTGCGGACCAGGACTCGTTTGTGAGGCCTCTCCACTCTCTAAGGGGACTGACTCGCAGGCTGAGGCCTGCTTACCTGAACAGCGTCTTTCTAGGAGAGCAGATTTATTTATAGTTTGGAAATAAATGCTTTCCGGTCCACTGACCGCCTGGAGTTGCCCGGAGGTGTGGGAGCAGGGAAGATTCTGTGGGTGTGGCCTCTCTTCCCCTGCCAGAGGCCTGGTGAGTGCGTGGTGCCACCACACCTGGCTGCCCGCAAATAAACTGAACGAGTGATGTAAGCACTCAACACTGGGTGGTGTTCTTTTTTTTTTTTTCCCATTTGTAACATGGGATGATGATGTATCAGGAGTCCTGAAGATGAAGGGTCAATATTGTAAGAGCTTAAATGTTACATGTTTATTTATGAAAACTTTAGCCAGGCCAGTGTGCCTGGTGAGCATGGCCACCACCTTGTAACCCCTGGGAGGGGTCTGAGGGCCACAGGGACCTCCACCCACACTCACCCACATGGATGAGACTTGTGGTCCTGTGCCTGGCCTGCTCCCAGTGTCCCTGGCCCTGCAGGCTTGGGGGAGTCGCCCCTGGCCCTGGAGGCTTAGGAGAGTCAGGGAATTGGGGGTGTCCAAGGCTCAGGGGCGGAAGTGCTTCTATGCACTCACAGCAGGTGGCGCCATTGCGCTGCACAGCAGCTCCCGGAGCCCAGCCTGCCAGGAAAGCTCTGTGTGTCCCCTTTTGATGGGACAGGGAATATTGACCAGTGGGGACCAGCCTGCGACTTGGAGGGTTGTTCCAATCAGATGGGGCTGCTGAAGTTCCTTCAGTTACCCTGAGGAGGACTTCAGTCCCTGAAAAACAGGTCTGCCAAGTCACTGGAAAGGGCCAGAGAGTGAATATTCTCAGCCCGGTGACTGTCAGCCCTTGTCCCAACCACCTGCTCTGCCCTGGGAGCCTGACCGAAGCCATGGACCACACAGAAACTGAAGCACAGGTCCTGCCCTGCTGAAACCTCCCTCACAGCGGGCACTCAGCTTGTGTTCCCTGTTGGGCAGAGTCCTTCCCGGTCACTGGATCCAGGAAGGGAGGCTGAGGCCCATGAGGGAGTAGACTCAAGAGCCGCCTCCAGTTCAGTGACCAGCACCCTTGGCCAGACACAGGTGTGGCAGCCGGCGTACCCCACGGGCTGCCTTCTCTGGGCCTGTGCCTACTTTGGGTTCTGTGAGCTCAGAAGCCAGGATCTGAGGTCACCACTGCTCCAGGGAGGGGAAGCGGGCCCCCACTGGCTCAGGTGGCTAAGAGCTCCCTACCCTCCTCCCCGGCACAGGGAGCAGGCGCTCCTGTCTGCAGTAATTACAGGGTGCAGAGCGGGGCCCTCGCCACATGCCTTGCACATGTTGGCTTCAATGACAACCCCTCACTTAGCAGCAATTACCAGCCAGGCCTCAAGGAGGCCTCTCCTCCCCCACCTGCCCGGCCTACCAGACCAGATCGCATTTACCCTGGGCTGTGAGCCCTAGAACTACCCATGCTGCCTGTAGCCCTTGCATCTTGGGGGGGGGGGGGTGCAGCGTTGCCATGGTGATTTGGTGCTTGCACAGGTGAGGGAAGCGAGGATGTGACTTGCCTCTCAGAGGCTGCAGTGTCTGTCTCCCCCCCCGCACAGCCTCCAGCTCCAGGGTCCCTGCAGGAGGGGGTGGGGTGGGGAGGCTGACCTTGCAGGTCCAGGTTTGGCGTGTTTACATGCCCACCACCTCTCCCAGGATCCTCCAGGGGAAGCAAGGTTAATGCCTGGAATGCAGGGACATGTGCAGGCAGGCAGAGGAGCGGGCTGGAGTTTGCCTGTGGGAGCGACCTGTGCCATCAAGCAGGACCCGGCATACCTTCCTCCCATCTGCTTCCCTTCACCACCTTGCTGGCTCAGGGGGACAGGCTCCATCGGCTTCGCCTCTGCTGTGAAAAACCCAAAAATCCCAGTGGGGGACTCCTCAGGTGGTCCTCATGGCAACTTGAGGCATCACAGGCCCCCAGCAGGCTGAGGCAGGTCCTTGGGCTGCAGTCTAGAGACCCTGGGCTGGACAGCGATCAGTGACTTGGAAACAGGCTCGTTTGTCCTTGGAGCCACTCTTGATGTTGAGACAGGGGACGAGGGAGCGGTACCCAGTGTTTCCTGGGCACCTGTGTGCGTTCACATGAGCTGTCTAACCCCAGCAACATGGCACAGGAGGGCTCAGTAGCCCGTGTCACAGATGTGGAGACCAGGTTCATAGAGCTCACAGCACCAATGGCAGGAGAGACGGCTGGGAATGCACCAGGCCTGGTTCCGCATCCCTCTGTGCCCCCGGGGATAGCTGTGTGGCCTTGAGCACCTCACTGGTCCCCATCAGCCTGTTTTCCTGCCTCTGAGAGGGGACCCCAGGCATCTCCTAATGAAGCTATTGGGAAGATGATACAAGATGGAGCCTGTAAAAGGGTTTGCACTTGGTCATGAGGTGTCAGTGGTGAGGGCATCCTACGGCAGGTGCAGTGACGACACAGGAGAGGCCAGCACCAGAGCCCCAGGCTTCCACAGTGCCCTCTCCTTGCCACGATTCCTGCATGTACAGGAGCTGCTTGGCGGAGCTGTCCCTCCACACGAGACTTCCCAGGAGCGGGGATCTTACAGGTCCCAGCTGCCAAGCACTTGGCCCTGAAAGAGGAGCTGTGCCCTGCTCCCGTGCCCTGCCTGCCTCCAACCTCCACCTGACGCCGCCTTCACCCCTGCTTTGTAATAATCGATGAGCTTGACCGTGTGCTCCTGGTTACTTAAAATCTCCCGGGCCACTCAGCCATTCCCCTGAAACAGACCCGCAGCTCCGGGGCCCACAGTATCCTGCTCGGGAAGAGCGGGCTGTCCTTTTTCCCAATGTCTCATGGCCAGCTCTACTGCAGGGGGTGACTGAGGGACCTGAGAGACCATGCATTGCGGTGCCTCCCATGTGCCCCTACCATGGGCCTTGCCCTGGGGACAGCTGTGGAAGGTACAGGGCTTTCTAAAAGGCTTTAATCGTTTATTCCTTCATTTGAAAGGCAGAACTAACAGAGAGAAGGGGAGATCTTCCAACTGCTACTTCTGTCCCAGCAGCCAGGGCACTTGCTGCACTCAATGCCTGTCCAGTCTGCCGGGTTCCACAGACTCAGCATTGGCAGTGAGCATGCAGGTTGCTTATCAGAAAGTGGTCCAGAGGAGGCGGGAGAAGGACACGGGCTGGGCGGGGCTTCCAGGCATTTGGCAGCCCAGGCCTCAGCTGACCCTGGGAGCAGCTCAGGGCCTGCAGTCTAGCTCTGAGTTGGGTGGGAGGTCCGGGCTTGCTTGTCCCCATGTGCCCCTGGAAGGAAATGTGACCAGACAAAGCAGTTTTCTTCAAAACCATGTCTCCCAAGAGGGCTTACCCTAGGTCAATCTTCCAGCTATGATTCTGGCTTCCGGGGATACCAAGTCCTTCCTTTCAGAGAGGACTTGTGGGCCACACAGCAGCATCCACCACTCTCAGTGCCCACAACCTGGGGCTGACCAGAGGGCCCTGAGGGGGAAGCAGCATCTAGCATGTATGTGTGTGCCTACAATGGCAAAAATGAAGGAAAGCCATTTCAACCAGACAAGCACCCAGGAGGCATTTGGTAAGTATGGAAGGACAGGTTCCGGTGCTAGGGTGCAGTGGCACAGCAAGCCAAGACCCTGCCTTCAATGCCTGCATTCCATATCAGGGTGCTGGTTGGAGTCCTGGCTGCTCCACTTCCAGTCCAGCTTCCTGCTAACGCACCTAGGAAAGGAGCAGAGGATGGCCCAAGTGCTTGGATCCTGCACCCATGTGGGAGATCGGGGTGAACTTCCAGACTTCTGGCTTCAGCCTGGCCCAGCCCTACTTATTGTTGCAGTCATTTAGAAAATGAACTGGTAAATTGAAGATTGTGTGTGTGTGGTGTCGTGTCTCTCTCTCTCAGTGTCACTCTGGCTTTCATAAATAAATAAATAAATCTTGAGGAAGCTACGCAAGGATGAGTAGATGGATATGGGTGATGGATGGATAGGCAGGAGAGTGGATAGATGAATGATGGATTAATGAATGGGTTGGAGAGGTTGGCTGGCTGGACGGTATGTGAATGGCTAATGGATGAATGAATGAGTGAATGATGGGTAATAGATGAATAAAGGATGGGTGACGGATGAGAGGTAAGTGAATGGCTGAATGAGCGACGGATAGATGGGTGGACAGATAGATGATGAGTGACGACCTGATGATGTCTGGAAATCAAGACGACATGGGTGGCACGGAAAAGGGAACCAGAAGTTCTCTCTCAGTCTGGATTGGATGGAGAACAAGGACGTCCTGGGAGAGCTTACCCCTTGGAATCAAGTCAGGTCTGCCAAGCAGACAAGAAGAGATGCAGGAAGGGCGCACCCAAGGCTCAGTGCGCTGAGGAATGTCCGCTGAGGAATGTCCGTGGGATTTGGGCTCTCACTGCTTGAGCGAGGTCACGGTGGCTGACTGGGGTGTGCACAGGGAAGAAGGGGCGGACCCCGTAGGGGTGTTCCAGTTGGGGAGGGGAGACGAGAGGGCCCTGGGAGAGGTCTGTGCACCTGAGGGGGCCATGTTTGTTTGCCAGTCTGGTCTCCTCAGTCCTGACCACAGTCCCTGGGTGGGGAGGAGGGCAAAGCATTGTTCCCAACAGCCCTCCCTTCCGTGGCTCACCGCCCTGCCCCTGTGCTGGCTGGAAAGTCTTGCTGTGCTCCTGGAATTAGGCCCCTCTGCTTGGCATGAGGCATAATGGCCCCCCACCCCCGTGCGGGGCACAGGGCTGGAGGGCTGGCCAGGTGGCATCCTGCTGACAATGTTTTGCTGGGGGAGGAATCCCCCACTGAGCCCTGGCCTCCCCACCCTGTTCCTGGGCTGCCCCATGAATTAAACATGCCCCCGTGGTTAACTCAGTAATGCTTTTATTAATAGTTAATTACTCAACACACACTGGGGATATGAGACTCACTCAGGCCTCGTAAATTAAGGCAGTGAACTCGTGAAGGAAGCCAATGGGAGTTCATTACCCCGGCCCCTTCTGCAACTGTACCTCTGGGCTTGCCATTTAGCAGTGCTAAATGAGAGGCACAGAAGGAAGGGGGAAAAAGGGGTGGGGACAGCATCACTGGCAGGCAGAGCCGGGAACTGGACTAGGAGCCAGGTCAGTGAGAGAACACTGCCTCTACGGGTTCCCCACAGGGCAAGGCCACCTGCCTGGCTAACCTGGGCTGGCCTC